TTGGCTTTACAATAAAAATACAGTTTTTCTCTTCTATTTTATTTTTAATTTTTGGTACAGTTCTATAGGCTCTGGGATTTTGCCTACCCCCTCCCCAATTTCCCTCCCTCCAATTGATTTCCCCCATATTATTACAATAGTATAATACTTCATAAGCAGTCATAAGTCCCTCATCCTGTTATTTAAGTATATCCTCACATTGCTGGTACAGACAATGGCAGACAGTCCAGCATCCTATTGCTAAGATATATCCAACAGTTTCATTGGGAGTTCATCTCTGATTTGGAAGTAGAGATGCCTACCGAGTTGCATCTTCCCTACTGGATGTGATAGTCTCTATTACACAGTTACTAAACATTCGTTTAAATGAGAAGCCATGAAGCAAAATCAACAACAGGAATAAAGATAAAACAAAAGATTTACAGCACCACATAGTTAAGTAACCTGCTACTGAATAACCAATGTGTCGATGAAGAAATAAAAACACAAAACCTTCTCAAAGAATATTATGCTATTGTGTGATATATGAGTCAGTAAAGAACTTAATAAGAGAAAAGAAACTATTTTTTAAAAATGAAGATAAACACAATATCAAAACACATGAGTTGCAGCAAAAACGGTATTGAAAGGGTTATTGATCATATAATTTGCATGAAAGTTGCCTTATACCAGAGAGAACATATGGTATTTGTCCTTTTGGGATTGACTGAGAAAAAATACATTTTTAAAGGTTTATTTATTTTTATTGCAAATTCAGATATACAGAGAGGAGGAGAGGCAGAGAGGAAGATCTTCTGTTTGATGGTTCATTCCTCAATTGGCTCGCGATGGCTGGAGCTGAGCCGATCCAAAGTCAGCAGCCTGGAACTTCCTCCAGGTCTCCCACGTGGGTGCAGGGTCCCAAGGCTTTGGGCCGTCCTCAACTGCTTTCACAGGCCACAAGCAGGGAGCTGGATGGGAAGCTGGACTGCTGGAATCAGAATTGGTGCCCATATGGGATCCTGACATGTTCAAGGTGAGGACTTTAACCACTATGCTATCATGCCGGGCCCAAAAATACATTTTTGATTAAAAAAAATTTACAGTAACAAAATCTTTGGTGAATGTATAATAGTTGCACATTTTTATGGTAATAATGCAAAATTTCAGCTCACATGCACAGCACAAACCCATCAAGCCAGGCAACTGGTCTTCCCAATTTCTCATCTTCTGTGTCTCTTTCCTCATAGGAGATGAAAAGCCTGCTAATTATAGCAAGACTCTCATAAGAAATGTCTACATGTTCAACGCCAGAAAGAGCTGGGGGCAGGATATTGTGCTATGTATAAAGTTTAGTGAATCTGTACTTTTGGGGGAGATTCTAAGCGCAGAAGAGGGATTTACAGGCTGCCAACCAGAAGAAGCTTACTATGAAGCAGGCCTCAGTCGGTGAGTTGTGGCTTGGTTTTAATTATCTTGGACCACGCAACTGTATCACATGCTAGGACGAATAGCCAGTCACATTCAAAATTCAGAACCTGGAGACATTTGTTTGTTTTTATCTTAAAAAAAAAGAAGATTTATTTATTCTTAATGGAAAGTCAGATTTACAGACAAAAAGAAAGATAGAAAGATTTTCTGTGCTCTGGTTCACTCCGCAAGTGGCTGTAATACCAGAGCTGAGCTGATCCGAAGCCAGGAGCCAGGAACTTTTTCTGGGTCTCCCATGTGGGTGCGGGGTCCCAAGGCTTTGGGCCGTCCTCGACTGCTTTCCCAGGCCATAAGCAGGGAGCTGGTTGGGAAGTAGAGCAGCTGGGACATGAACCGGCTTGCATATGGGATCCCAGCACATGCAACGTGAGGATTTTAGCCAGCAGGCTACTGCACCGGAGACATCTTTTTCTCAGAAGTCATTTCCTGAAGATACATTATATATATATATATATATTTTTTTTTTCCTTTTTTCTTTTTTCCTGAAGATACTTAAAATAATCCCTAGTTGCCTGGCTGGGGAAATGGATGACATGTGGTCAGCATCCTGGAAGTGAACTGGTGAATGTTGGATGGATACACTCCCATAATGCACTTGTTTTCAGTATGGGCTCATCCCTTCCCTTGACTGTGCCTGGCAACCTTGAACATAGGATCTCTGTGGTTCAGTTTCACCAGACAATCATTTCCAAGTCGTGTGTCATCATGGGGGTTGGGTAATTACCAGGATGATATACAGGAGGCAGGGCAGGAAGTCTGAAAATTTTCAGGTTTATTTATTTACTTGAAAGACAGTGAGGGAGAGAGGTGGGAGAAGGTGCTGGTTCATTCCCCAAATGGCTGCAATGGTTGCAATGATTGCAATAGCTGCAATAGCTGGGGCTGGGCCAGGCCTAAGCCAGGTACCTGGAATTCCACTGCACATGCGTGGCAGGGGCCCAGGCACGTGGATGTCCACTGCTTTCATAAGTACAGCAAGCTGAATAGAAAGCAGAGCTCCTGGGATTCCAACCAGCCTTGTGATACGGAATGCTGGTGTTGCAAGCAGTGGCTTAACTTGCTGAGCCACAGTGCCAACCCAAGCAGGTCTGAGTCTCCAGGTATTTTTATCTAGATGTTCTGCCTTTTCTACTCCACCCCACAATGCTGTTCCAAAATTCTTCGGGCGCCTCTGGCACGAAGTGGTGCTCCCAGAAGGTGGGAGAGGCAGGGTAACTTCCGGGGCAAAGAGGGTAACAGATAGAGTAAGTCTGTGTACTCTGAGACTGTCTCAGCTCTTGGTTCAAGATGGGGCTCCTTGTCCTGACCCATGACCCCGCCACCTCTGTCCCTCACCTGCTGGAACCAAACTGATGCCAGCGCCAAGCCCTGGAACCTGGCAAACAGAGTTGAATAAATTCCTTTTAAGCGGGCTGTGTCACATACTTGGTTACAATGAGAGGCAGGCTAATGGACTCGGCTCCCCATCTCTCCCTGGCCTCTTGGAAGCTTGTGGACCCATCTCATCCGTGGTTAATTCTTGCCCTCCATTCTTTGGTGCATCTTGATTCTAAAGCAAACCCAAAAGAATTCGTCGATGCTCTTGTTGGAGGGGCAGTTAAGGAATAGGGACAGTACCCAGATGTCCCGCACTGCCTCTCAAAGGAAGCCACAGCCTCCTGGTGAGGTTTCCTCGCTGGGACCCCCTCCTGCCATCCACTCCTTAAGGCGGCGTCTCTGTGGGCAGGCAGCCCACTGCTCACCTGCCCTCTGGCCACACCTCCTCATCCATGCCAACTGCTCTGTCTAGGATTCTTCTCCTGCCCCTCCTGGTGTCTAACAGCATACTGGGTAGATTTCTGTTTTCAAGTGTATGCCACATACTGGGTATTTTGTGGGCACAGATGTGTCTGCTGTAGCCTAAGTACAAGGCCTTGACCTTGTTCAATGTTAAACTCTTTTAACCAACCATGCATCGCAAATAAATAACTTCCTGTGTCCCGTCCCAGCGCCCTGCACTGGAGTAGCAGGCTTTCTTGTTTTGTGCTTCCGGGATATATTTTTCTCAAGTAGAGTAGATTGAGTCCCCTCTTCATTCCAGTGGAACAGGGCCACAGGCCTACATCCTGGCCACCTCCTCCGGCTGAGGCATGAGCCCCCACCTCCCCCCGACTTGGGCTGTGGCCCCTGGCCTTGCTTTGACCAGTGGGACAAACACGATGCGTGTCCGTGTGTTTGGCTGCTCTTGTGTGTTTGTCGTTGCTGGTTTAGGAGGCTGAGGGGCAGCTGGAACAGAGCTGACCCCGGTGTCCAGAGGACACGCAGCTCGCAGGAGAGCTCCTGCCCCCCTGCAGACCTGGGAGCTCCCTGGTACATACTGCTGCTCATGGCATGGCACTTAGTGTGGGGGACAATTTGTGTGATGGCACTCTGACCAATTCGTGATATCCAAGGGAAGGAATGGTTTATGGAGATCTCTTCCTGTGAGCTGGTTTTGCTCTCTGGGAAGACCAACATCAGTTTATTGTGTTGTTAGCACAATCTTTGTACCTTCAAAAGGCTCTCAAGTGACTCACAAACTTATTTTTTCCTCTGGCTCTGATAACCACAGCTTTAAGTTGCAGTACAATTAGGTGCAATCCACACAGGTGGTAAGGCTGTGACACTACTAATTCTTACTTTTTCTCCCAATAAAACAGACCTTTGGATGTGATGTTTAAAAAACAGAAACTATGACAAAATACTTCTATGGTGAGCACAGATGTTGTTTTTTTCTTTTTTTCAACAGCACAATTCACTTTTAAAATCTAATGGAGCCTAGCTATTAATAATGTAGGAGAGAGAGAGAGTGTGTGTGTGTATGTGTGTGTATTTAAAAGCTTGTCATTGCAATCCAACTGCTACTCCACAATGAAAATGAAAACGAACCCTCGCGGCAAGCCTCTAAGGAATAGTCAGCCACTGTATTAGCGCTTCAGGCTGTAAGGACTAGGCACAAGTCCCAGGAAGAACTAATCTGTAATGATTCTATTGTGCGACCTTCACTTTGCCTCCTCGGTAAAGATCCTTCTCCCAGGGTGGCCTCCTGTAAGTCCTGTTATTCTGAAAAGGAATTGCTGAGCTAATTAGAACATCCAGGAGTGTGATTGAAAGGGAAAGTACAGAGCCACGGCCAGGATCAGCCAAGTGCAAAGGGGTCGCCTTGGGCTGTCTTCACAGTCCCAAGGGGGAGACAAAACCAAGGCCACGTCTCTTGTCCTGCTACCGCTCCAGTCCATCATAAAAGCCTCTGGCCTTCAAGCTGCCCGGACAAAAGCCTCATTGCCCACGTGCATTTCCCCCTCGACCCCACCCCCGGGGTCTGTATGGGACGCTAATCCCGCGCACAAAGCCGGTGGCTGCGCTTTTGTCCGCCGCGCCCGGGCGCTGCGTGGAGCTCAGCGACTGCCGGGCTCTGGAAGGTACCAGCGGCGCGCTGGGGCCCGCCCGGGTTTATTTAGCAGTCCTGGGCTCGGCGCGGGGCTCCTGGCCGAGCCGCTGTTCTCGTAACCATGTACCGGCGCAGCTACGTCTTCCAGACTCGTCAGGAGCAGTACGAGCGCGCCGACGAGGCGCCCGAGCGGCCGGCCGACGGGGCCCGGGGAGCGCCCTCCAGCCTGGCGGCGCTGCAGGGCCTCGGCGAGCGCGTGGCCGCCCACATCCAGCGGGCCCGAGCGCTCGAGCAGCGCCACGTCGCCCTGCGGCGGCAGCTGGACGCCTTCCAGCGTCTGGGCCAGCTGGCCGGTCCCGAGGACGCCCTCGCCCGCTACGTGGAGGGCAACCGCCAGCGCGCCCGGGACCTGGCAGCTGAGCGCAGCCGGCTGGAGCGTCAGGGCGCAGAGGCGCAGCGAGCGCTGGACGAGTTCCGCAACAAGTAAGCGGCGGCGGTCCGCGCGCGCGCGCGCGTGTGTGTGCATGTGTGGAAACAAGGCTGGACGTGGGTCCGGGTTGGCAGTGCAGCTTCGGTTCCCCCGGGCACAGATGAGCTCATTCCCGCCACGTGGCGCATTCCTTGACACCAGTTTCCATTCGGATGGCGCTTCAGAGTGTGCACAATGGAACATTTTTTCAGCCTTCAAAAGGAAGGAAATTCTGGCGTGGGTCGTTTGGCTTAGTAGCTTAAGGATTCTGGTTGGAGCAGCCCCATTCCCTATCAGAGCTCTGCACCATATTCCAACTTCTTGCCAGTATGCACGCTGGGAGGCAGTAGGTGATGGATTAAGTAGTTGGGCCGTAATACCAGGAAAGACAGCTGGATTGCCATTTCAGCTCCCAGTCTCAGCCTGGCCCACCCTCCAGGCTGCAAGAATTTGGGAGAGTGCACAGCGGATGCACTGTCTTTGCTTGTCTTTTGCCTCTCAAATAAATAAAAGTGATAGAAAATTGTTTCTAAGAAGGAGTCCTGACATGGGCTACAAAGCGGATGAACTTTGAGAAGCCTAAGCTAAGTCAGAGAAGGCACTTGTGAAAAGAACAGTGCTGTGTAATTCCTCTTGGGTCGGATGGTGAGTGCCGTCGCAGCTGTGCAGACGCAGTAGCGTGGAGGTTGCTGGGGCTGCAGTGGAAGGGTTGGTACATAGGGGCCCAGGGTTTTAGAAGAGCTGTGGGGATGAATGCTGATGATGGTGCCACAGTACAGTTAACACCACCGACCTGTACACTCAAAGTAATTGAGTGGGTAATTTTTATGCTTTGTATGTTTCACCACCACGACCAGGAAAAAAAGGGGGAGCGGGGATAGAGGGGCGAGTAGGGAGGGCTTGGCTTGCCTGACGTCGAAGTTTGTTTCTGTCTGGAAGGCAGAATTAAAGAGACAGAGAGGGAGAGAGATCATCCTCACGTGTTCCACGTCCTAGATGGTCACTGGGGCTGGAGATGGGCTGGGCTGGTCCAGGACTCCAGTTGGCACCTTCGTGGGGTGCCAGTGCTGCAGGCGGCAGCTTTAGGTGCTGTGCCACAGTACCAGCCCTTGAGTAAGCACTTATGTCAGTTATGTGACCCTCTGTGATGTCTGAATCCCAGCAGGCTCTGCCTGGGCTTCCAGAAAGCCACAGCCACGTTCTAGGCTGCGGATTGGAGGAAGAGAAATCTGGAGGAGCCCCCATTTCCCTGGAAGTGCCACAGACTGTTGCTTCCTTCCCACTGGTCAAGGCTTTGTCACATGGCACACCTGGCTGCAAGGAAAGCTGGGAAATGTAGTTTATCTTATTGGCAACTGCGTGGTTGCCAAACATCTAGGGCTATAGATTCTGGAAAAAGTGAAATGGGGTGGAGGTAGGGTGGTGGGGCAGGGAGGCAGGGCTGGGGAAAGCTTACAGGCAGGGATCATTTGGGAAGGGGAGGCCTTGCTGTGAATCATGTCTGGGGTCTCAAGTTACACCTGTCATTTCTACAAGTCCAGGAAAACATTGATTAAGAGAGAAAAAAAAAAAAAAACCCTGCTTTTAGCATCTGCTTTATTCACTTTGTGTGTGTTTACATGGATGAGTGGGGGGTGGTGTGAAGGGTCTTCTCGTTGCATCCAGGAAGATCCTCGGGGTCCCCCAGGGGCACAGGGCTTGATGTCTGGTTATTCCACCTGTGTGTTAGTGTGGAGTCCTGCAGAAGCTAAGCCCGAGATGGGACTCTGAGAGCCAGTCACTCTTGTGAGGCGAACCAGGACAACTTGGCAGGGAAGGCAGCTAAAGCTCAGTGCCTGGTGAAGCTTGTTACCAGATACCACTGTGGGCACTGGGAGCTCCACAGGCTGGGTTATCCAAGCAGAGGAGGAGGGAGCCACTCTGTCCCCCTCATGCATGGTGCAATTTTTACCACTTGTTGGCTGCACCTTGGTGTGAGGAGGCGTGGGCAGCAGTGGGCTGCCTAGTGCTGCCTTAGCTACTGCTACACTCTCCCTGAAGGAGAGGGCATGGCACTCAGGCCAAGCGTGTGGTCCACAGGTGGGGCATCGCAGCAGCTGCCCGGCCTCTGATTTGTGTGTCCCCTTTGCAGGTATGAAAATGAGTGCGAGTGTCAGCTGCTGCTCAAAGAGATGCTTGAACGGCTTAACAAGGTGAGTTGGATGCATTGGGGTCAGCGTTGGACCAAGGGCCAGAGCCCAGGTTTCACATGCCTCTTCTTCATGTTGTTTTGGGACTTTTGATTCTTTCCGATAAATGGTGCAGTCTTCACCCTCACACGCCTCTGTTCATCAGATAGGGTCTCATGAGAGAACCATTGGCCATGAAGTGTCCTGGTCATGTGGGGGTCACCAAGGCATGCCAGCCTGACCAGGATCAGTTGCTGGCCGACCTCTCAGACAGCCTGATCCCAGACAGCTCAGTCAGCAGCGATGTGGCCATTGGTTGTGGTCGTCCGGATGCAGTCAGGGCTCTGAGATGGCTGCCCCAAGGGGAGGTCTCCAGAGAGCAGAGAAAACATTATTTGTTTACAAGTTTGTTTGTGAGACAGAGAATTGGAGAGAGAGAGAGAGAGAGAGAGAGAGAGAGAGAGAGAGAGAGAGATCTACCACTGGTTCACTCTGCAAATGGCCACAATAGCCAGGGCTGGGCCAGGGGGAAGCCAGGAGCCAAGAACTCTGGGTTTCTCATGTGGGTTCCCAGGGCCTTCTTGTTCTCTGTCCATTGAGGTGAAGAGATGAGAATGGATGGGGACTTCACCTCTAGTCTAGATTCTGGCTGGTGAGTCTGCTTATACGGGATCAACAAGAATGCGTCTCTCGGGTCAGTCTCCATGACCACTTGCTTTGGTCTTGCTGGCAGCTGGGGTTTGTCCGTTCTAGGGCATGACCATAGAAAGTCACTGACCCCCACTTTGAATCGTGCTTAGAAAACAGCAGGGTGTGTGTGAAAGTGCGAAGTGTGGCTGCTTTCACACAGCCGTCATGCATAGAGGCTTCCCACGGGTTTCAACCTCCAGGCTTGAGTTCCTGTTTTCTTAACAGCCAGAGATGCTAAAGCTGGCCACTCTTCGCGATGCACGTGGAAGCCAAAGCAATCCCCTCACCTACATGATAGCCGGATTCATTAGAGTTTTTAGCCTTTGGACATGGTAAAAAATTGAGATGACACTGAAATATTCTAGTCTGACGACAGCTCATTGTCACTAAGCATGTATAGATGCAGTTATGGTCCCCAGGAACTTGAGGGTTTGCTTCAAGCAGTAGACTTAAAGGTTTCACTCTCCATTTTTTTCTTTGATATCCTCAGAATTTTGAAAATGAAGGAAAAGTGGTTATTAAAATGTAGCTAACCAGAAATCTTTTAAAGAAGATATTAAAAAAAAATCTTTTCCTATTGGGAAGACAGCTACAGAGAGAGAGCAAGAGCGAGCGAACGAGAGAGGAGAGACAGAGAGATTTTCCATTCATTGTTTCACTCTCCAAATGGCTGCAACTGCTGAAGCTGAGCCTGTCCAGAACCAGGAGCCAGGAGCTCCTGGGTCTCCCACGTGGGTGGTGGGCCCAAGGACAGACGTGGGCCATCCTCCACAGCTTTCCCAGACTACAAGCAGGAAGCTGAATGGCAAGAGGAGCAGCTGAAGCTATAACTGGCACTTATATGGTATGCCGGTACCATAGTGGAGGCTTAACTTGCTACATCATCGTAGCAGCCCCCTAACTAGAAATCTTAATGAACTTGAATATCCTTTAGTAGTTGAGTTTTTAAGGGGTTCCAGATTTCCCTAAATAGGCTGGCCAGGCTGGTTTTCCAGGATATGTTGAATACCAATGGTTTCTTTAATCTCGTTCTCAAAGTGGCTGCAAACGGCTTGGACCAGCGTTTGTGACCCAATTTGTGCCTCTGTTACCTGGAGGGTGTGTGGGACCCAGATCCCTGGGTCTGAGCCCCAGGAATGCTGATCTGGTCTGGGGTCTTCCAGACTGCTGTGTGAATCTCGGGTCAGTTCCCTGGGTGGTGTGGTCTGGAGCCTGCTTGTTGACAACTGCTGGGTTACTTCTAGAACTGACGCAGCGTCAGGGCTGGGATGTTTTCTAAAATGAAACTGTTGACCCAGAGACTCACTTTGGTACAATCTAGATTCTTCTGCCATTGAAAGCTTTTGACAGTTCAGCTGACAGCACGCAATGCCTCATGAAAACATGAGCGTCCACACATTTTCTGAGTTCTAGCGTACACAAAAGAGAACGGATCCAAAACAAATTCTCCACGACATACCAGCAGCCGCACATTTCAGCGGTGCTTAGTCATCCTCAAGGGCCACTGGTCAGGTGATTGTCATCAGGGCCAGACAATGTGCTTTCGCAAGCTTTTGGGCCATCCCTGCTTGGGGGACAAATCCATGACCAGCTTTCTATCACTGTGATGGACATGACCTTACGAGGGAGATGGGGAGCAGTAGCAGACGCCCTGAGGGATGGAATCAGGGATCAGCCCCCAGCCCTTGACCAGTCCAGAGAAGCCCAAGGCAGACTCCTGTTCTCACATTTTCTTTGACTGTCCATTAACTCACTGACCCACTGGGCTTTGTGGCTCAGCACTCCAATCTGCCAAGGTTGACTCTTGGTCTTGAGCTGTACTTGGCTAAACCCCAAGGTTCCCTAGAGAAAGCTGAAGGGTGGATGGGGGTGCCTGTGTCCCCTCCTGTCCTTTACAAAGAGTATCTTGGCTTTGCTATGTGCGTTGGCTCTCATGGGAGAGTTTGAAAGATGGCAGCTATCACTTAAAAGAAGTTGCCCTGATGGTCTTCTAACTCTAAAGCCTTGAACATGTGCTCCCTGCAGAATCAACAACGAGAGTTCCCAGGATCCTGCTTTCAGTGCTTCAGCTCTAGCAATGGTGGCTGAGTCATGGAGGGAGAGCTGTACTATAAGTGGAGATGATTAGAACTTGCCAATCTGCCTTGTCCTTAGCAGAGTTCAGAGAGCTGGAGGGAAGGCAGAAAAACCTTTGGAGGGACTGGCTCAAGCTCTTCATCCAGCTCGCCTTCTCCTTGGCCCCACCATTAGCCAAGCCTCTGTCATGCAGTATCCCCAACCCCAGGGGTGGACGTCACTCCACAACAATCCATTGCCTCTAGGGTTTGGTTTCTTCCTGTCATTGTGGTTCTGCTAAGGGGCTGATAGGCACTTGATCCAGGCTGTCCAATCCCAGCTGAGAACCCCCAGATTTCAGTCAACAAGCAGGTGGGAAACCTCTCGCTCTCTCCTCACTCCCCTTCCCACATACATAAATCTTTCTGTTGAGGCATACTTAGGCAGAACAAGAGAGAGAGAGAGAGAATCACTCATCTGCTCCCCAAATCACTCATCTGCTCCCCAAATGCCTGTAATGGCCTGGCCAGGACCAGGTTGAATCTGGGAGCAGGCAGCTCATTCTAGGACTTGCAGTGATCCAGCCACTTGTGCACTCGCTGTTGCCCTGCAGGGAGGTGGGATCAGCAGCTGCAGCTGGGAAGTGGGCCCTGGTTTTCTGATGTAGCACCTGGGCGTTTGGATTGCCAGGCCAAACGTCTGCCCCAGGATGTGTGTTTTCTTGAGCGCCCTCACGCTGGTCAACTTCAGGCCTCTGAGGCAGGGTCACCATAGCAGGTGCCTGGGCTGTGACTGTCTGTCCTCACAGGAAGCCGACGACGCGTTGCTGCACAACCTGCGGCTTCAGATTGAGGCCCAGTTCCTGCAGGATGACATCACAGCAGCCAAGGACAGGTACAAGAAGGTAACCATGCCCCTACTCCTGGAAAACCTGCCTGGGGCTTGTCAGAAGGGCCCAGGGCCACCTTGAGCCACGCTGGGCCTGGCGTGTTCAGAGGAGCAGGCAAGGGTGGGCATGTTGGCGATGGGGGGGCTGTGTGTGTCTCAGTGTGGGGAGCCTGTGCATCGTGTCTCCCGTTTACAAAGTGACTTTATTGGACACTGTCCTGCTTAAGCCAGTGCTTAAACAGCGCTCTTCCAACTGCAGAAATAATAATAAAAAAGAAAGGGGAGTTGTAGTTCGTGGAAGGAATGTAGTCATTCAAGTGTTTCTCTTCCTGCCATGCCCTGATCACCACAGCACCAATTTCTCACAGTCTTCACTTTGGAAGGAGAGGGGTTCCTGCCCCCTCCCCTCACCCCCGCCCCATGGCCCAGGGACCTCACCTTTGTGAACTGCAGGGCTGGGTTCGCCTATCCAGCCAAGGAAGCTGTGTGGGTTGGCCAGTGGGGCAGCTCTGCAGCGCCCGCAGACCAGGACACGGTCCTCACCCTCGGTGAGCTCTGACCCTCCCACTGTGCCTATTTACCACCTGGGCACTTTGTCCAAGCAGCCCGAGGCTGCTGTGTCCGATAGGGCTGTGTGGATGATCTGCTGCCCCTGTGAGCAGGTGGGAGTTGATGTCTCACATACCCCAGCTTCCTCTCGCCTGTATGGCGGCTTCTGCTTCTGCTCTGGGACCCACAGAACCCCCTTGCGGATGGAGTCTTAGGTGCCCCAGTGGTGACTCGTTGATAACCCACCCCTCACTGCTGACTTCCTCCCATCTCCCTCCACAGTCCAGCTTCCTGGTGTCGCTGCCCAGAGCAGGTGGTCTCACTCTGAGCCTGCCGTCAGAGGCCACTTCTCGGGGAACCCACACTAAGGCATGGTGATGCAGGTGCATCCACGCCTGGCTTGTGCTGGGCAAACCTGTGATTCTGCACCAGGGCCACGAGGGCCCTGCGCTGTGGCTCTGTGTGCTAGCACTCTCGCTCCTGACAGGTGTCCCCCCTTCCCCTCTCCTTCCCTGTTTCCTGCTTCTGGACTCACTGGACTCTCCTGCTAGGAGCAGGGCCTGGGGTGTGATTCTAGTCCAGGCCTTTTTTTTTTTAGGCCACTGAGAATAATCAAGATGAAGTGGCTCATGTAATATGCTTCCCCGGCTTCCTCTGCGGATTCCCCTGACAGAGAAGGTGGAGAGAGAGATAGAGAGATGAAAGCTTGCGTGATTGGTGTTTGAGTGGAGGACTCAGAGAGAAGCAAGCAGGGAGCTATGGGCTCAGGTCCCCCGGCCCCCTGACCCCGCCAGCCCTGACTGCCACTCTTGGGGGTGCTGGGAGTGTGGGGTGTGACTGTCACGTGGCCTGCAGGTTGGCCTGTCCTTTCTTTCATTCCGGGGTGTCATTTAGCTGAGGTAGCTCTTGGGAGAAGGCCTCATCTTGTTCACAGAGCTGGAGACAGGAGTGTTGCCCAGCAAGGGACCAGGTGTCCCTGCAGAAGGCTTACTCTGCTTTATAGATGAATTTGCATTTCAGGAGAGTTAAAAAAAAAAAAGAAGCTTATTTATTTGAAAAAGTTACAGAGAAGGAGAGAGATGTCTTCCATCTGTTAGTTCACTCCCCAGATGGTTGCAATGGCCAGGGCTGGGCCAGGCTGAACCCGGGAGCCATGAACTTCTTCCAGGTCTCCCTCATGAATGCAGGGGCCCAAGCGCCTGGGCCATCCTCCACTACTTTTCCTAGGTCATTATCAGGGAGCTGTATTAGAAATGGAGCAGCGGAGACACAAACCGGTGCCCATATGGGATGCTGGCATGGCACGTAGCAGCTTTACCCATATGCTACAATGCCAGCCCTCTCAGGAGGTTTTCATGGCTAGCCCGTGGCCACACATATTCAGTAGGTCCCAGGCCTGGCTGACTGAAGCCCTGTGCTGATGTCCGACAGGGTTCTGGGTGCTCCTCGGTTCCTGACAGCTCCATGTTTCTCCTGGGCCTCTGCCATGCAGGGCTCTATGAGGACAACAGGCAGCTGATGGGAGACGGGCAGGTAAACCCAGCCGCCATGTACTCTTCGGCCCCTTTCTCATGCGAATGCAAGGAGGTGTGCTGTGTCAGTGGCAGTGACGGGTCCAGGGGTGGGCTGGCCCATCACTGTTTTCTCGGCCCTGACTTAATCCCAGTCTGTCCTGTTTGTGTTGGGAGAACATGGAGGAGGATCCCCTCCTGGGTGCACCTGTTGCTATGCAGAAACCTGGGCAGCTCAAGAGGAACTGAGAATGTTCTGCTCTCCCCACAGAATCTTCTGGAAATTCAGGCCTATGTCAGCATCCTGCATCAGATCATGCAGACGGCTCCTCAGGTGCCCACTGGTGAAGGTGGGATAAAGGAGGTAAGGACGGAGCCTCGGCCACTGCGGGAAGCAGCTGAGGCCCACAGTCCTGGCCTCGGAGCCCTGGACAGACCCGGGGTATAGGCTGACTTGGGCTCCCACATTGCACACGGCTCTGTAGCTGACTCCTGTTGCTGTGACACATGATGACATAGCAATATTCGTCGGCCCTCACTCTCCCTGGCCATTGGCTTAGGTATCTTCTCTCCAGAGTCAGGAAACGACTTTAGGGCAAAAGCGGGGAGGAAGGTACTCAACGTCCTCAACACAGCAGAGACTGCAGGCCACCCCCGCCCCACCCTGAGCTCACAGTGCCACTGTGAGTATGTGCCCAGTGTGGTATTCCTCACCTGGGTGGTGTCCTAGGATGACTCAGATGGTGGTGGGGTGGGGAGTGTACCCAACACACATTTATGTGTCACAGTTCTGGCCGCTGGAGGCCAGGGTCAGGGTGCCCAGGGTGGTTCCCCCAGACCTGCCGTCTCAAGGCGACCAGCAGGAAGAAGTCTGGGATCTCTAACTTCCTCCGTCACAGGCCCCACCCTCCTGGCCTGGACAGCATGCATCAGCCCTGAGGGCCCCGCCTCCTTCCCCATCACCTTTGGGTGGGGAGCTTGGGGCTTCCACTGTGCATATTACACAAAGGACAAGCGACCTTCGTCCTTTGCTCTTTGCGATTCCTCCCATGTGTGTCTTCCCCATGAAGGAGAGGCTCCTGACGGAACGGGAGGTGTCGGCCCTGCGCAGTCAGCTGGAGGAGGCCCAGGAGGCACTGTCCCACCTGCAGGCACAGAGGGCGGAGCTGCAGGCCCAGGTATGCGTCTGCCGGGCGTCCACACCATGCGTGTGAATCAGGGCTCTTGCCGTGCGTGTGGATAAGGGTTTCGCACAGCTCTCTGGACACAAACGAATGCCCAGCACTGCAGGGCAGAACTCAGTGTTCCCGGTAGGTTGTCAAGGCTCCTGGCACGGCCTGGACCCTGAGGGGTGTCCCAAGACGCACGCATGACTCTGCGTGCCCAAACTGGAAGGATCCGCAGGGTGAAGGGCAATGGAGGACAGGGAGCATGTGAGTCCCCAGCCCCTCTTGGCTCCCCGAGTTACACTCCTCCCCGGGAGGGGACGGCTGCCTTGCCTCCCCAGAGCTGTGTCTTGCCCGGGTGATACTTAGTAAGTATCAAAACCAGACCCGTGTGGAAATTCTTATCCTGTGCTTCCTCTTGGTAACATTTTTGGATCTAAATTATACTGCAGGGAGTGGTCTGCTTCCGGTTAGAAGTGTGTCAGCGTGCAGCTCGCATCCCCAGGCCCCTGTCTCCCTTCAGGCGATGCCGTCTCAGCAGGCTTGGCGGAACCGCTGTGCCTGTGGTTGCGGTTCTTCTTGCTAATGAGCGCCAAGGATCGTGGCCCTTGGTGCCAACAGCTCTTCCTCTCTCGCTGGCCATTCTGACCTCATCTGGAACTTGTTGGAAATGCGCGAAGACAAGTTCACGGGCACATCTCAGACCAGCTGTACCAGGAACTCTGTAGCGGAGCCTACAGTGCCTATTGTAACCAAGCCCTTTGGGGTGTGTGGACGGGTGCTGTGCAGGCCCAGTCTGGAGAGACCCCTACTATGAGACTGGCCCAGTAGCACCTGCAATTAGAGCTGTCTGAGATGGGGGGGACCTCTCTTTCAAGTAGACGCCACACAGACGTCTAGCACCCCTGGAGATGGCGGGAGAGGATAGGGGACATACAGCTGTTCTCTGTGAACTCATTAGTGACAAAAATCGTTCTCTTGAAAGTCACCGTGCACCATCTAGTGGTGAGATTTGGTAAGACAATGAAGTATCCTTGGATTTCTTGTTTATACCGTCATTATAAAAAAAAGATATTTATTTTTTATTTGAAAGGAAGATTTACAGAGAGAGGAAAAGACAGAGATCCTTCATCTGCTGGTTCGTTCTCCAAATGGCCACAACGACTGGAGCTGAGCTAAGTTGAAGCTAGGAGCTGGGAACTTCTTCTGGGTCTTCCACTTGGGTGCAGGGGTCCAAGATGACTTGAGTCTTCTTCCATTGCTTTCCCAGGCCACAAGCAGGGAGCGGGGTTGGAAGTGGAGCAGCTGGGACCAAAACCAGCACTCATATGGAATCTGGTGCTGCAAGGCAGAGGATTAGACTGTTGATCCACTGCACCTGCCCAGTTTATATAATTTTATTTAAAAATTTTAGTTGTGGGAAAGAGATAGAGATAATAGAGAGAGGAGCATGCTTGCATCCACTGGTTCCTACTCAGATACCTGCAACAGAACCGAAGCTGGAAGCTGGGAACTTAATCCAGGTCTCCCATGTGGGTGGCAGGGACCCAGTTACAGGAGCCCTGTGAAGCTAGAAGCTCGATTTCCCCAGCTGCCCCCAATTTCTTAAAAAAAAAAAAAAATAATGACCTTGGGTGTGTGGGGTGCCAGAAGGGTGAGGTGGAACTCAGCCAGCCCTCTGGGTGGGGTTCCTTGTCAGATTCCTTGTCCTGTCTCGGCCACACATGATGGGATTTCCTACTTGTCTTCTCCCACTGTGTGGCCATGCTCGGCTCCCCACACTTTTTTTGTTTGTTTGTTTGCTGAGTGGAAACATGCCAGGAGGGGATCCACGTGGGGGATCCGCCAGGCTCTCTGGGCCTGTAGGGGGAGCAGCCGCTGGGGCTTGCCTGTTGCTGTGGGGCAGTGGGGGATGCACAGGTGACAGAGTGTGTGTATCTGCTCCTGTGTCCACCAGCCACGGGGAGGAGGCCGAAAGGCAGGGAAGCATCTGACACCCCAGCGAGGCTTGGCTCCTGCTGTGGTATTCATCAGCTGTTTCACCTGAATGACTCAGTTTCTTCATCTGTCAAGTGGGACCATTAACAATAGGTAATATTGGGTGTGAGGTTGACCAGTTGTCCCAGATGGGAGCTCAGCCTCAACTTTGGACCATGTAGTTTGATGAGAACATGGAAGCAAATAGCAACAACAGAGTCTCCCCAGACACAGTTTTTTTTTTTTTTTTTTTTTTAATGATGAGACATTTCAAACATAGGGGAAAGTAGGGGCATGGTCTCATGAACCATGGGAACCCTCCGCTCCCAGCTCCAACACCGAGCCCTTCTTGGGTTCCAGGCACTGTGCCTTCATGGAGTTCTGAAACACTCCGTGCTGCTCAGGAGCATTTCCTGAACATGGGCACACTGGTGCACACGTAGCTGCCCTGGGAGCTGGCAGTGTGACTTGCTCTGTGACATTGCAGGTGATTAACTTTGGTTTTTTTTTTTTCCTTTTCTTTCTTGGGAGGAACAGAAACTTGGTGAGAGCTGCTGAAGCTGGAAGGGCACTGGTTTACTTTCTTTGGAAATCATTTTAGATTTCTGAGAAGTTAGCCAAAAAAACCCAGGGCTTTCCTGTCCCTGTGTGCTGCAGCTGCCTTCCCCGGAGGTGAGCATCCTGGTGCTCACAGGCTGGAGGCTGGGGGGCAGGGGTTTTGGGGGACAGTTTTCCAGCATGCCCTGCTGTTGTCGATGCTGTGGGACTGTCCTGCTGACCCCCCTCCCCCACCCCAAGCTTTGTCCTTGTCCAGGATCCAGCTGGCGCTGTAAGTGTCCCCATCGGGACCACCCTCTGAGTTTCTCCTTTCATGACCCAATTGCTTTTCTGAAAGATTCCAGGCCAGTTATTTGGGGGCTCACCCCTCTTGCTGCTTTCTGAGGTTTGGGTTGAGGTTGTGCATTTGGGGTAAGACCGCCAGAGTCCAGTGTCACAGGAGGAAACAGCCTGTTGTGTTGCTGGGCTGCTCCTAGATGTATCTGAATTGCATTTTCCATGGATCTTTTGAAGTGTCCTTGGTCAGTCTTTCCTTCCTTCCTTCCTTCCTTCCTTCCTTCCTTCCTTCCTTTCTCTCTCTCTCCCTCTCTTTCTTTCTCTACTGGCTATCAGATCTCTGCTAAGTCATTAAAATAGGAAGAATGATGTAGTTTATGTGAATTCCATGCATAAACTCATGGAGGGTTGTTTTGATTTTCTGGGCGTGTCACCTGTAAACTGCTTTGGAGAGCAGGTCGATCCCAGAGCCAGGTGGATGTTTGGGCAATGTTCAGGGTCTCCATTCTGCTTGTGCTTAAGAATCACAAGGGGACCTACAGCCGGTCTCTTGCTGGCAGAGGCCCACGGCCTGCGCTGGCTGGGAGGCCAGGCTGGGTTTCCACATGCGCAGCATGTCTCTGCCCTGCAGACGTCCACCCTGGAACAAGCCATCAAGAACGCCCACGAGTGCTACGACGACGAGATTCAGCTGTACAACGAGCAGATCGAAACCCTGCGCAAGGAGATCGAAGAGACGGAGCGCAACCTCGAGAAGTCAACCTATGATTGCCGGCAGCTGGCCATCGCCCAGCAGACGCTCAAGAACGAGCTGGAGCGGTACCATCGCATCATTGAGATTGAAGGCAACAGGTGTGCGGACGCAGAGAGCTGGGAAAGAAACACAACTTCCCCCCTGACCGCGGGGAGCTTGAATGTCGGTGGGGGAGACAGGTTGATGAGTGAGCTTTCCGTGAGGTGTGACAGGTGCCATGGAGAAAGTGATGGAGGGAGGTGAGGAGGGCTGGGGATGCTGGAAGTTTGGTAAGGAAGAGGCTGCTGGGACGACTGCTCCCCTCCCCGCTCCAGGCTTCTGGGTTCCCAGTGTCCCAGCAGGTGGGTGGTGATGTGGGGTATTCAGGGTGAGGTTGCCGGTGCAGGGATACTGCTGGTGTCAGCTGCCCTGCTTGCCTTAAATCCGTCAGCCTGGATTGGTCAGCCTTATGTTGTTTTCCAGCATATAAGTGTACATCTGCTAGAAATTGTATGTAGGTGTGGGCTTTGGCTTGGGGTACCAGCATTACCTGAACGCTTGCCAGGCCAGTCCTGACCGCTGAGAAGTCTCTCAAAAGTTCCCCTGGGCATGGATGTTGAGCGTTGTAGCTTGGATGCTGAAAGACCATCTGCCATCCTGTTGTAGGGCTTGGCTTCAGTTTCCAGCTCCAGCCAACTTCCGGTGCTGCTCTGACCCTGGGAGCTCAAATTGCTGGGTTGCTGTTAAGAGTTCTGGGCTCCCAGCTTCAGCCTGGTCCAGCCCTGGCTGTTGTGGGCATGGAGGGGATGAAGCAGCAGGTGGGAGCTGTACCTATTTTTCTGCCTCTCAAATAAAGAAAATGATTCTTGAAAAATCACGTGTCACGAGCAGTTGGATCTGGAGGAAGCTGTGTTCTCTTTTGTTCAATCTTAGAGTATCTCTTGTTCCTAGCCACTTGATCGACTTGAGGAATTCCAATGGTGTCATTTTCTTTCTGGTTCTTCCCGTCAGGTTGAGCTCTGCCTTCATAGAGACTCCTATGGCCCTGTTCACACCTAGCCAGGGACCCTCTCTCAGCCTGGGATCCGGTGGGAAAGGTAATAGTCCCCAGCTCTGCCCTCTGTATGCTCCTCCCTCCCTCCCCTTTTCCCTTCCGTCTCCTCCAACTCTCCTTCCTTCTTCCCTTCCTCCCTGCCTTCAGCCTTCCCTCTCTCCTCTCCCCTTCCCTTCTCCCACTCCGTCCCCGCCTTGTATCCCTTCTTCTTCCTGACTTGGTCGTTCATGCACGCTTCTAGTTCGACTGGAAATGCAATGTTCTTATGTGAGGGAGGTCTTCTCCTTTTGCTCTTCAACACAAGCCCTTGGATGCTAAATACCCGAGTCAAAGCACACATAAGGAGAACATTGTGAGCTGGGGGTGTAGGCCCCTCGGGTACTCCTTCCCTGGTTAGGGGGTGACACTGAGGGCAATCATAATGCAGATTCACTTCTTGTTTCTTCGTGTTGGCCTGAAGTAAATATTGATTTGGAGGAGGGTGTCTCACAATGTTAAGGAAGAAATGGTAAGAAGTCTATTTTGGTGCAAAAATATTTTGATCTCCACGCAGTCTTTTTGCCGGAGTCCAGCTCCAGCCGAGTTTGGAACTCGAGAAGGGTGTGTAGAATAGCTGTAGTAAAGAAGATAAATGGACCACTACAATCTCATGATCATAATGGACAAATGCAAGAAAGCTGTCCCCTTTCCACAGAAACCCTCACGAGCTCTGGCACAGACTTTTCACGTCATGGTCAAGTGGGTGTTTCCAAGAATAACTCTGCCGTTTGTTTCACCTTAAAGCTCTCAGTGGAAGTGCTCAATAGATGGTGCCTATCAGTCAGTAACACATTCCTACTACAAGCCTCATTCTACAACTCAATCTGGATTCAGTTAAGGGAAGAAATGCATCACAAAGAAAAGTAGAGCCTAAAGATCAAGGAAAGAATGAAACCCTAAATATAGGTCCTTTGATTAGGTCTCCCATGTGGGTACAGGGTCCCAGGGCTTTGAGCCATTCTCGACTGCTTTCCCAGGCCACAAGCAGGGAGTTAGAAGGGAAGTAGAGCAGCTGGAATATGAACTGCTGCCCACATGGGATCCCAGCACATGTAAGGCAAAGACTTTAGCCACTAGGCTACGGAGCTGGGCCCGCCATGCATTTATATTTCATTTTATCATTTCCACAAACTTGTGTGCGTGTGTGATGCATCTGCCACCCACCTATACATTCATGTACCCGTCCATCCATTCACCCAAAAGGCAGAGTGACAAGGAGAGAAGAAGAGACAGGGAGAAAACCTACTTACTTGCTCACTTCTCAATGGCCACTAACAGCAAAGCTGGGAACCAGGAACCCCATCCTGGTCTCCTATGTGGGTGCAGGAGTCTGAGCCCTTGGGCCACAATCTGTTGTTTTCGTAGGCACATCAGCCAGAAAAAGATGGGGAGAAGGGAGAATGAAGAGAAAGAAACTGCTTGCAACAGCCGGGGTTGGCCCAGACCAGGCCAAAGTCACGGGTCGTGAGCTCAGTCTCTCCTATGGGTGTGGCAGGGACCCAGCTGCTTCTTCTTAGGGTGTACCTGGTTAGGAAGTTGGGATCCAGAGGGACCCAGGACCTCTGATAGGGGAACAAGGGACCCTGAGCAATATCTTAGCTGCCACCCCAATGCCTTATCTTTTTATTCCATTCCCCCCTTGTTTTGATGTCACCTCCATATCATTGACTTACTGCCTCTGTTTCTCTGTGTGTTTGTGTATTTTAGACCTTACCAGGGCTGTGCAGGATATAACAACGGCTAAACCCAGACAAAAAGGCCTCCCCAAGAGTGTTCCAAGGAGAAAAGAGATCCTGGCCCAAGATAAAGGCGACAGACCCCAGGAGGATGTGTCTTCCAAAGGCCCGGAAAACACCATGGTGGTGCAGGGGGCACTTACAGACAAGGAGGAGCCTAGACCTGAGCTGGGGGCTGGGGTGGCAAGTCAACCAAAGCAGGAAGGAGTCCTGGAGGATGTGCCAGATGGGGGCCAGATAAGCAAAGCCTTTGGGAAACTCTGCAAGATGTTCAAGGAGCAAACGCATAATTCCCAGGAGCCCGAGCCCCCTGCCGACCTCTTCACCAAGGGGCGGCACGTGCTGGTCACTGGCGAGGCCAGTCACGTGGACCCCGGCTTCTGCCCCTCCTCCATCCCAGCCAAGGGTGGGGTGGTGGTCTCCATCATAGATGACGTCAAGCCTCTCGATGACCATGGGGAACCCTCTCCTGAACAGCCCAAGCCTCCTCAGGAGAATGGCCAGGAGGAGCCCCAGGAGGGAGAAGAGGGTTCCCTGAGCAGCCAGAAGTCTACAGACAAGGAGAGCGAGGGAAGCAGCCAAGACTCCAAGGGTCCCGGGGAGAAAGAAGACAGCCCAAAGGAGGAAGACAAGGAGCCCCAGAGACCATGCGCTGGGGCCGTGCCTGGGCCAGGGGGGCCAGCTGCCCCGCAGGCTGAGAAGCCCCAGCCAGGTCGGGATGCATCACCAGGGCGTGGGCATGGGCAGGGGACGAGGAGTGGCAGCCTGCCGGACAAAGGCTGTCCCAGGGCTCTAGCATACAAGAAGGTGGAAGTGGTAGAATCCATTGAGAAGATTTCCACGGAGAGCATCGAGACCTACGAGGAGACGGCCGTGATCGTAGAGACTGTGGTTGGGAAGACGAAGGCCAACAAGATGAAGCCTGGGGAGAAGGGATCTTAACCCAGCCGGGCTCCCTGGGTGGGGCATGCAGCTTCCTGCATGGGCTTTGGTAGTTTAGGACATGTGCTACAAGAATAAGGGTGCCCACTTGCGTGACTTCGTGACATCAACATTTACCCCTCTGGCCTTGCCATTAAAGCGTTTTCTTTGCTTGCACCTCCCTTGCCTGGTCAATAGCCGCCTTGGGGTTGTAGGCAGGTAAGCTCAGGGTGCTCAGCTCAGTGGCCCCTGCAGCCAACCTTGCTCAGCGAAGAAGCCCGCTTGGCCCTGGGCTCAGCCAGCAGGCAGTTGCTTAGATACTTAGGCGGGATCTGGATTCCACACAGCAACATGCTTAGGGATTGGTGACCCTGGCACTTCATCCTTCCCTCTTAAAAATACACATGTGTGCTGGCACGAGTGACTGTTCCCTTGAAGATAAGGCGGCTACAAGTGTAGAGTTTAGTCTGGGTTCCTTCAGAAGCTGAGGGCGAAACAAGTGTTTGAACACAGGAAGTTTTCGTTGATACCTGTTTGTGAGAGAGACGCCATCCGCAGTCCCTAGGTCTGAGTTCCACTGAGGAGCTGTGTGCATGCGGGAGAGTGTATCCTTGCTGGAGAGAGGAAGCTGGGCTATAGAGCCCCCAGCTCCTGCCTGTTGCTGCTGGTGGTGGTGGGGGGCAGTGGGGGCACTCTCGTGTGTTGACTCACAGGCCCAGATGCAAGGGTGTTGCTGTTTGGAGGTTGTTACCAGACACATTTGGTGGGTTCTTTCCTCAGCTTAATACAGAAATGAAAAGCCAGGAACCCGGTTACAGAGAATTTGTGAAGGGACCAGGTGGGCAGGGAAAGAGGGAGGGGAAACACCTGCTGAGAGAAAGCCAAGAAAGCCTGGAGGTGTGGTGCCTCTGCCAAGGAGAGAGAGAGAGAGAGAGAGACAGTAAAGGGGTCTTTGAAAGGGTCTGGGGTTTTAAGCCTTCTCTGGTCCCTCTTTGTTGGGCAGGAACCTACAGTTAAGCAGTTCCACATTGGTGGTCTCTTAACCAGTTAGGAAATAGCTGGGCCATGCTTGTGCCTCCCACCTGAAGGTGTGACCAAAATTTCAGCAGGCTTGGACTTCTCAGAGGTCAGGCACAGAAGTACGCAGGAGCAAGAAGGGCCCAGAGCATGGAGCCAGGACACAGGCACGTTGCTACATTAGTTTCTTGTTCAGCAGTCAGTGACTGAGTCCTTCAGGTGGAGCATGTGCTGTGTGCCACCTGACTACTAGGCTGGTAAAGGGAGGTTTTCCCAGATTTATTGAGGGTCTGAATGACTGGGGTCTATCCCTATCCTAGCGGAATGTGACCATGCCACACCCAAAAAGCCAGAAATTACTCCCACCCCATCTTCACCAAAATTGCAGGTGCCCTTAAGCATCTAATTTTTTCCTACTAGCTGTCCAAAAATAACTCCATTTATACTAATTAAGACAATTCCTCCCTATGTGGATTGTCTCAAATACACAGTTAAAGACTTTGACGCAATGTGCCTAAGTGGATCACTCAGCCCCTGAAAAGCATCCGGCAGGTCCATGTTATCAAAGAAAAACCAACAGACACACATTAACCCTCTGTTATATCTTGGTAATGAATGTCAGGAGCATAACTGGAGTCACCTTTCCATTCTGTTTAAAGCTTTAAACTTGTTGACCCAAGTTCATCTGAAGTCTTAATTTCAAGAAAGAAATAGGCTTCTGGGTTCTTTCTGGAAGATGCCTGGAGAACACACTCCATTGCAGAGGTTTCAAGTATGTGTAAGCCAGGAGCTGTCTGTTGGAGAACCAGTTTGTGCTAGGAATTCGGCCCTGTGTGTATGTGGTAGGCAGCATTAGCAGCTGGTGCAAACACTGGCTTGCCCATCATGAAGTTCATTCAATTTACTTTGGCCATATGTATAGTCAACATTTGTATTTTAAAAGGCAGAAATTATTATTTTGGAATGAAAGGTGATTAATTTTTTAAATATTTGATTCCATTAATCAAGAGAACCCATTCTGTGCTGGGCAGCAGAGAATAAGACGGAACATTCTGCTGGGGGAGGAAGGATGCACCATGAAGCAAACAGCCAAGACACTGCTTAGTTTCTGTGGGAGATACACTGGTGGGAAATCGCATCGGTCACACGCTGGCGTGACTAGGGCCTACTGGGGACTGGGTGGTCCAGGGGAGACTCCCTGGAGGATGTGTTGACAACAGGGGGTCACTATGTGAAGACCCAAGGAGCAAGCATTACTGGCCAAGCTGCATGTGGAACTTGGCCTGTGCCAGGAGGAGAAATAAAGGGAACAGAGAGGGTCCATGGGAGGAAGCTCAGTTGTGGTGGGCAGGAGCTGGGGAGCCCCATTTGCTGGTAGGCTCCTCCTGTGGTTGGGCCTGGGGTGTAATAGTGGAGCTGGTCCCAGTGGTTATTTGGTCTCCCACAGTCCTGGTGTCCCAGGGATGTTGCCCCCTCTGCCCACCACTCCCCTGCTTGGTCTCTATGCTTCCTACCTCTTCCTGCTCTCCCAGGAGTGACAGAGGGGTTCATTTTCCAGTTGTTCCCTGCCTTGACGTCTCCTTGTCAGTAAACTTGGGGTCTCTGAGCAGGCCTCCCCAAAGCCAGAATGGCAGGTGTCAGAATGCCTTCTGGGGGGTGGGGTGGGGATCTGTCAGTGGGGAGAGGAGGAGTAAGACGCTGCAGGACCAAGGGAGCCGGGGCCACTCCTTTTTCGTGTCTTTCGATTCCTGTCCACGTCAGCCTAGGGGCCTCTGGAACAGCAGCCCGAATTGACTGGCAGCTGCTTCCCCTTGGCAATGCCCTTCTGACCATAGCTGACTCTTGTTCCCAGTTCCACCAGCATTGGAGAAGGCATTCTTGTTGGGACCTACCCAGAGAAACCCCCTGGCTAGATGGGGCCTCCCGCTCTTCGGAGCCCCGAGCCTGGGTCCTGTACCCTCGTTTCCACCCCCCCACCCCCTTTTTATTTTTCTATTTTTATTGGAAAGGAATGTTTATAGAGAAAAGGAGATACAGAGAAAAATCTTCCATTTCTGGTTCACTCCCTAAAAAGCCCCAGTGACCGGAGATGAGCTGATAAAGCCAGGAGCCTCTTCCAGGTCTCCCACATGGGGACTGGCACCCATATGGAATACTGACACTTGCAAGCACAGGCTTAGCCAGTTGAGAGACTGTGCCAGCCCCCTTCAAGTTGTCTTATCAGATTCAAGTGTAAGACCACAAAGCCTTGAGGGGGACCAGCTGTGAGATGGTTCCTTTGCTTTTTTTGACATCTGGGGCCCCTGTGGACCTCCACCAGCGAGGCGTGTCCTTGGCTTGGTCCTGCGCAGCTGTCGCTCTCCACCTTTCAGGTCCTGGTACAGGTGCTCAGACTCCATCTCCTGGTACTGTGGGTGAGACACGACAGCAGGCCCAATGGAGGGCTGGGTGGCCTTAGGATCCTGCCCTGGGAGAAGAGTGGAACTTCCATTTCCCTACAGCTCTGAGCCACTGCCTCCCCCATGTTAGACAACTTCAGATACAGTTTTTGAGTTCTCTTTGGCGTTTTGAATTCACTAAGTAATAAGGCTTTCTCCTTCATGTATGGTATTTTCCAGTAAATTCTGCCTGTTAAAGACTCCCTGTTCTGGTCTGTATCTCCTGAGGAAGGAAGGGATGGACATGAGACAGGGAAAGGAGGGGCAGCTGGGACTCCATCCCATTAATGATCCTTAAAGAGACTAGCAAGGGGGCCTTCACCACATTGCCCTGGTGGGAGGCAAGGAAGTGGAGATTTTTTTCTCTGTCATCTGATGCCTTCTGTTGATGGTGGCCCTGGCCATTGCTGTTCTGGCGACCCTAGCCTGCTGCACACAGGGCCTGGCATGATCGTAGCTGGAGGGTGTCCCTTTGTCCCCACCTCGCGGCTGCAGGCAGGGCTGTGCAGCCTTTGACTTGTATGTTAACAGTTCACAGGTGACCCTTGGAGGGCCGTAACGATCCAGAGCGAAGGCTGGCCAACTTTCTCTAGAAAGGGCCAAACTTCAGCCTATGCAGTCATTTGTGTAGCCACTCAGCTGTGCTGTGACAGCGTGTATGCCACCATGAGTGACACAAAAGCCATCACGCATGGCTGTTTCCAGCAAAATCATGTTGACAAACACAGGAATTATAGGGGTTCGTGGGCTGCAGTTTGCTGAATCCTGGATATTGGAGATGCAGCCGCAAAGTTGGCTACCAAATCCAACTTGGGTATCAGAAGACATTTGTAAACTGGTGTCTCTGTCTTTCTGCCACCTTTGTGGGCGACCCTTCACTTTTGTTCTCTCCTTGACTTGGAGTATGTGTTAGCAGAGAGGATTTTTGAGCCGCCGTTAGAATCTAGTCCACCCTAAAGTTTTTCCAGCACATAACTGGTGGTGACCTACTAAAAAGCCATGTGACAGGGTAAGCATTTGGTTCAGTGACTAAGATCTGTATCATGTTAGTGCGCCCTTAGTTCAAACCCATCTCAACCCCTGGGGAGCAGTGGGAGATGGCTCAAACACTTGGGTTCCTGCCACTTCTGTGGCAGAACTGGACTGGGCTTCTTACGGAGGTTCAGCCTGGTCCAGTCCTCGCTGTTATGGGCATTTAGGTAGCAAACCTGCAGGTGGAAGATCACTGTCTGCCTCTGGTCTTTCAAATGCATAAAAATAAAGAAAGAAAATGAAAAAAAAAAAAAGTGGAGGGAGGTCCCCAAGGCTTCACTTCTGTGGCCTTGGGGAGTCTCTTGTGCCCCAACTGGAACTTGTAGCAATGATACAGCAACCTTGATTATGTTAAATGATTGAAAATTTGAGATGTTTGCTCTGGTAGTATAACTTGGTCTACCCTGGTGAACACATCCTGAAGTACTTTTTCTAGAAGATTCTTATTGTTACCCGTACTGGGAAATGGATTTCCCACTGTGACCCAGAATCTACACTCAGAGAACAAGTAGTTAGGCAGGGAGTTACTCTAAAAACCACAAGCTCTCAGGCAGGGGTGGCAGGATGTAGCAGGCTAATCCTTCCCTTTGCAACGCTGGCATCCCACTGGGCACCTCCTGCGTGTCCCAGCTGTTCCACTGCCTATGGCCTGGGAAAGCAGTAGAGGATGGCCCAAGCCTTGAGATCCTATACCTGTGTAGGATACCAGAAGTGGCTCTTGGCTCTTGGCTTTGGATTGGCTCAACTCAGGCCGTTGTGACCACTTGGGAGTGAATCATCGAATGGATCTCTCTCTGTAAATCTACCTTCCAAATTAAAAAAAAAAAAGTTAAAATAAAAAAGACCAACAAAAAGAAAAGCTCTGGTATTGACTTTTTGAATTGAATTTACAACACACTAGGGGGCACAACCTCAATTTGAAACATGCTGCCATTGACTATAACTTACGTGTGTGATTTACACATTAATTATGCATTTTTCACGCAAATTTACTCAGCTAGACTTTTAAGATTTCTCTACAGTGACTTTTCATTCCATGCCCCTAGAATGGATGGAAGATATCGCACATAATTTCTGGAAGGCAATGTTTTATTGTTGAGTCTCCTGATTTACAGCATGTCCTTTTAAATTTACTTATAAAATTTGGCACAGGGCATAACAAGTTAACCTGATCCATTATTATTCACTTATTCTCTCTCTCTTTTTTTTTTTTAAATAAATGACTAGAAATGTCTCTTGCATTAGGATCAAGGATACTATAAAAACAGCACTAGCTAGATTAGTGTCAATCCTGATGCAAAAAAAGAGACCAAATATGTATATATAGCACTAAATATATATTTATATAGCGTATACTCATATCAAAACTTGCCATTTCTATTGAGAAGCTGATAATTGACTTTCTAATTTCATAAATTATACCACAACTGTGAAAATATGGACAACTACTTTATAGTTTTGCTGCTATATAAGACATTTAATGTTAATACAGAAAGCTGTGAAATTACACAGGTGATGCAATGGGGATGGGTAGATGGACACTTGACCTGAATTCCCGCCGGCCTTTTTCTTTAGCCAGAATCATCTTGATGGTCTCTGAATATTCTTTTAGAGATGAATATAGTATCTGTTTCTTTAATAAGTACACATACACGCATGTGGGGTATATGTGTGTCTATACATTTATACAAGTGTATATATATACACATATACACACGTGTATATAGTCTACATATGTATATATATATTTCTGTGTGACTTACACACATATAATGTCCTTTGGTTTAGTTTCAGATGATAAATGTGAAATGAATTTCCAATGATTTTCCATTTATTGTTTCTTTAAATAACTGGTTTAAAAAGACCTTTGCCACGAGTAATAAATTTCTTTTTAAAAAAATCATAAATATTACACTTTAAAGCATGATGGAGGGAAGATCACAAGATGATTAAGAAGACAGAAATTCATGGCAGCATGAAGGGAGCGGAGAAAAGGCAGAGAACAGGATTTCAGATTCTCAAAGTTGCCACTGTGAGGGAATGGACACTGGTGCTCTGCAGTGCTGGCTTTGGGAAACGGGAGGGAGGAGCCGGGAGAGGGTGAGAAGTAACCATTTCTTGGGATGAGTTGGTGCTGCAACCGAGGCCAAGCCTCTGATAGGCCAAAAGAGGGATAAGAAGTCACTTTGGTGACATCTATCTAGTAAGGAAATGGTGCTTTTGGGGGGGGGATGTGATCATGGGTGGCTGAGATGCTTAGTCAGCGGAGATGCCCTCTTGCCTCCCGTGCATCTCAGGTGACCGGGGGAGAGCTGGCATGTCTCTCTCAACAGAAGAGGCTGCACCCAGAGAGGGGTCCATGTAGGGACGGCCATTCAGCTCCCCAACTAGGCCTCTGTAGTCCTTCACACCCCATCACCACAACACATCAGGACATTATAGCAAGAGGGAGCAAGTTATTCCTTTCTGTGATTTTTTTTTTTATGAGGGGTGTTTGAAATTAAAGCCCACATAGGTGTGTGTAAAGTTTTGAAAAACCAGAACAAAACAGAAAAACCCTGCTGCTCTTGCCTCTCTCTTATATCAGTTAAAGATGCCTCCAAAGGTTTTGAAATCAGAGAACAAAGGACCCTTCCCCAGATCAGATCCACGGGCAGAGCCAGATCTGCCTTGCTGACTTATCGTATTTTCTTTTGGGTCTTGGCATTAAGTGACAACACTTCCAAAGTTCTTGCTGCTTGCATCTCTCTCTCCTGTCTAGCAATGAGGCCGCTCCGTGGATGGCAGCTTCACCAACGTGTCTGACAAATCGTGCTCAAGTCCAATCACCTTTCCCGAAGGATCTTTCACCTGCCTTGTGCTTAGATGAGGCCATGGACACGTGTCCTGGGAGTACCTGTGCGTCGCTTGTTAAAGTCACTCTTCTCTCAGATATGGGGTGGGGAGGGAGGATTTGGGTGGGGTGGGGTAAAGCTGTGCCAGTTTTGTTTGTAGGATCTCACCCGTTTGGATGATAGAGAGAATTTGGAGTCTCATCACATGGGATATAGATAATGGTGGCAAACATTATATTTGGGGCATGGTGTAATAAAAAGAAAGGTTACTTTCCTTGTGATGAAATCATTATTGACAGTGAGCAAAGCTTCAGCTTGAGACGGCGGACTGGCTTGTGAGGGGTGACGGTTGCTGGGTGTGGGCAGGAACGGGGGGCTGTGGACAGAGGCAGAGAGGAAGTGCGAGGGTGCTGGGGGTAAGGGCTGCCTAGTTCTTGTTGAGGATGCCCTCCAGGCTTCTCTCCACGGCCTCATCCAACTCTTCCTCCAGCTCCTCTTTTTTGGACATGGCCAGCTTGGACTGATAATCCTTCACCACCTGGTCAATGTAAGGTGCACTCTGCGTGCCATGCAGCATCAGTGTCCACTCCTTCAGCACGCCCTTCTGGGGTGTGCTGCCTGCAAAGCCCAACTCCAGGGTCCAGGTTCCTCGGGCGTCCTCCCCCCATGTGTGGGTGGTCATGAACGGCCATTTGTCAAAGCCCACCTTAGAGTCATCATCCCGGGGTCGCCGGCTCAGCAGAATGGACTTGGTGCCCATAGGGGAAGTCATGTTGATGTTCAGGTCTCCTCTCCTTGTGGCATTGACTGTGATGACAGCTTGCACATGCTCCAGGTAGCGCACAAAGTTCTCTTTCCCCTCGCATGCGTCAGTTGTGAGGGTCAGCACCAACTTGCCAGTGGAGGGAATTTTCCTGGGGGGCAATGTGAGGAGGAGACACGGTTAGAGATAGTGGGCACACCAATAGCAGGACAGGGGCAGGAGGTATAAGCCAAAGGTAACCTCAGGGAGCAGAAAGAGCAAGGCTTTGGAATTAAGCATGTTAACCGGGGTTTAATTCCACTCCAGCTGTATGAGCTTGAGCAATGCAGAAAGGGAAGGTAGCAGGTGCTGCTGATTCCCCTCCCATATTTCTTTAGGCACCTTCACGCTTTCTAGCAGCTGCACGGGCTAACACTACAGGAGCCTGCCCAGCTGGTGTGCTGGAGAGCCCAAAGATGTTTGGGATTTATTGCCAAGGGTCCTTAAGCAGTGCTTGCTAGGAGTTGGTGGATGAACATCCGTGGGACAAGCCCTTTCTCAGGCTTTCCACTGGGTGCGAGCCTAGGCACCCACAGAGGCAAGCTCTTGTGCCTGCAGTTGTGCTTGGCCTTATCCCTTGTCTCACGTCTCCACTTCCTCACGTGTTTCCTGGAATCATCTCTCAAAACCCGACAGTTGTGCTGCTGTGGGGGAAGCCTCTGCAGGGACACTCCCATCCACCAGCGCAGTGCTGGTTTAAGTCCAGGTTCCTCCAGGTTCCTCCCCTTCCCCATCTAGTTTCTGGCTGAAGTACCTGGGAAGGTAGTGGAGGTTGACTCAAGGACCTGGGCCACCCAAGTGAGAGATGTGGATGGAGATCCTGGTTCCCAGCTTTGGCCTGGCCCAGCCCTTGCTATTTTAGGTATTTGGGGAGCGAGGTAGCAGATGGAAGATCTTTTTCTGTCTCTCCCTTTCCTTGTTGTTCTGCCTTTCAAATCAACAAATCAATTAAAAAGATGTATGCAACAAGTCCCATCTCAGGTTATCTTTTGGGGCAACCCACATGGAGACAGAAGCATATATTGCCTTTCTTTCAAAGTGCCCAGAACCTCGATAAAGAAAAGCTACTGCTAACTGGTTACTACAGGTTGAGTATCTGTTATTCAAAGTGTTACAGACTGCAGCGTTTGGCTTTTGGCTTTTCGAATATTTGAACGGGGCCCAGTGCTGGGTATTTAAAAATGCACATCTGGTGGAGTGCATGTACAAAGAGATGCTGGTTACACACCCAGCCCAGAGCCAAGCCACTCCATGGCAATGAACTTTGAGCCTTACACTACAACTCATTAACAAAGCCAAATTCTCTTCAGGAATGTTTTAAATATCTTCTTAAACAATTTTCATGGTGTATGACTGTGCACACTGCACCTGGAGTGCTGAAGCTGAGCAGAGAACAAAGCACCATTGGCTGTGGAGCTCCTGCAATGGTGGTGGAGGTGGTCTTTTGGTTCCTAGGCTGTGAATAAATCAACCAGTTTGATGGAGAGCAGGTGTTAAGCCAACTTCGGAGGGCAGGGGACAAGGTGTGTGATGTGTACCTCTCAACAAAGACATCATTTATTCAGAATAGGGTCAGAGAGAGGACAGGTGAGGTGATAAGTTACTAAAGGGTGGAAAAGCTCGCAGGTAGCATAGGGGAGTCTCAGACGAAGGATCTGGCTGTAGGCAAGGCATTTGAGTTGAGCCTCATTTTCCTTATCTGCACAATGGCATGTTAATTCTTACCTTGAAGAGTTGAGGTGAGGGTAACATATTATTATACACCTATATCTATATATTTGTATGCACAAATAGATATAAAATAGACATATATGTATGTATATACCTGCACATGTACATGATGTATATGCATGTGTAATATATGTATATGTATATAAATATATATTATATATGTTTACAAGTGCCTAGACCAGTGCTTGCCAATAGAAGCTTCTGTGAAGATGCAAGTGTTCTGTATCTGTGCTTCTTGATATAGTAGTCACTGGCTATCTATTGTCACTGAACACTAGACATTGGGCCAGTAGAAATGAAGAACTGACTTTTACATTTATTTTGTGTGAGGCCCGGTGTGATAGTCTAGTAGCTAAATCCTTGCTTTACATTTTCCAGGATCCCATATGGGCACCCTTCCCATCCAGCTCCCTGCTTGTGTCCTGGAAAAACAGTCAAGAATGTCCCAAAGCCTTGGGACCCTGTATCCATGTCAGGGAATTGGAGTAAGTTCTTGGATCCTGGCTTCTGGCTTCAGATCAGCTCAGCTTTGGCTGTTGTGTGGACACTTGAGGAGTGAACAAGCAGATGGAAGATTTTTTTTTCTGTCTCTCCTTCGCTCTGTAAATCTGACTTTCCGATAAAAATAATTAAAAAAAATTATTTTGTGTGACTTAAATTCAGTACATTTTTACTCACTAATTTTATACTAGCACAGGCATAAGTTGTTGTCAGGGACTGTTTTTGTATTACAGTAAGCTAACCTGCTGCCACAAAGCTAGCATACCGTGTGGGCACCAGTTCAAGTCCTGGATGCTCTGCTTCCAAACCAGTTCTTTGTTAATGTATCTGGGAAGGTAGCTGAAGGTGGTCCAAATATGTAGTCCCTACTAGCTATGCGGAGGACCCAGATGGAGCTCGGGGATTCTGGGTTCAGCTTGTACCTACCACACTATTGTAGCCGTTTGGGAAGTGAAGCATTGGATGGAAAATCTCTGTCTCTTTGTCATGCTTGACTTCAAATGGAGAAACACATCTTTTTTTTTAATGTGTATGTTGCATTTGAATTTAAGAATAACAATGTACAGAAAGTCTCTCTGGCTTCTTTTTCAGCACAGTCTTTGAAGCAGTTGGGGGAAGTAGAGACCCTTGTATACAGATTTTACAGCCACCTTTGGAGAAGGTTCTGGAGTGTTCCAAATCAAGACAAAAGAGAAGAACCAAGCTTCACTATGGGATTTCTATGCAGGTAAACAGGCAGGTCCAGGCTGGGTTTCCCTCTAGCCTGGGACCTCTGGGACTCTCTAAGGAGAATGGTTGGTGGCCATAGAGAAGGACGACAGGAAGACAGCCCTCAGCTCTGAAGCCCACGTGGAACCTGAATCCCTTTTCTGTCTTGTAATCCCTGCTCCCTTGAGAAGTTCAATTAGGACATTCATCAACTAACAGCCCAAGTAAAACCATCTGGTGCCGTAAATATTACCAACTGTTTGTCAAATGCGATCGTCACGATTACCACAAGGGTCCAGAACTCCAACTAAATTCTAAGAAAATGCATTCACTGTAACAGATTGCACCCAGGGCACTTAGGGACAGGAGTCACACAGTGACAATTCTCTTACAAGTCAATTTGTGGCAACTCTGGTGGAAAATCATCTTTGCTTTTCCACCAAGTGAAAACTCAAAACATTTCTTCAGCTGAGAGTCAGAGATGAGCTGGCCACATTAGCTTGAAGTCAGATCCACAGCCCACTCCGTAAAGAGTTTCTGAGTCAGCAATAAGGTATTCTTTTCACACAAGAAAGAGATTGGCCCATGCTGAGATAATCTCTTGAGATAGAAGGAATGATACAAGGGTTTGGATTAAGCTTGGGCCAATCTCAGGCACTGCGTGGCAAAGGGGTATGAGGAAGAGCACCCTCTATCCAGACCCCCTTCCCTGGGCGGTGCCCATTGGCTGGTACTGTGAGCTCTCAGCTGCTTCCTTCCCTGGAGAATCACCCTCAGGGGCCATGGGTAGAATCGTACACAAGACCAGAGCCTTTGTCTCCAAGGGGACCACGCTGGGTTGCTGTTGCTTTGTGTCTCAGCTTTCCCCAACCCACAACAGATACCTTCTCTTCTGTTCTGAAAGCAGCCCACTGAGCAGGGGAAGGAGCACTTCCTGAGCCCCTGTCACCACACAGCTCATTACAGTCATTGCAGGCATCTCCAGCGGTCCTCATGGTCATTCAGTGACCACACGATCATGGCTGTGAAACTCGCCTTTAGAGCTTTCTAAATATTGTGTGAATAAAAAGGGTGTATTCCAACCCATTTGCATATTAATCTTTCATCATTGAATTTCAACCTCGTTGATTTCCTTCATAATCCTCTGTTTGGGCTGATGAGTTTGAAAACATCATGCTGAGTGAAGGTCTCCTGGTTTACTGTACTAAAGAGGTCAGGGGTCAGAGGTTGAGGATTGGTAAAATAGAGGGTTACAAAAGTTAAATGCATTGTGAATGTTGGGGAAGTCACGATTTGACTTCAAGGAACCAGTGTTGTGGCACAGCATAACCTGCTGTGTATGATGCCACCCACCCATATCAGAATGTTGGTTTGAGGCCTGGCTGTTCCACTTCCAGTCCAGCTCCCTGCTGATGTGTCTGGAAAGGCAGCAGAGGATGGCTCGACATGGGAGACCAGGGAGGAGATCCTGGCTCCTTCTTTGATCTGGTCCCAGGCATGGTGTGCATTTGGGAAGTGAACCACAGGGTGAAGATCTCTCTCTCCCCCCATCTTTCTGCCTTTCAAATAAATATATAAGTATTGTTTAAAAAAATAATTGAGTTCAGGTCTGAGTAACTGGCAACAAAAGTTGAACAGAACCCAGGTCCAGAGGAGAAGAAAGGAAGATGATACTGTGGACTGAATAGGGTCCAGTTAAGTTCTCTTGATTTGCAGAAGTGAGGTCAGGGTTGGGGACCACTGAAGTGGATGAGGAGTCAGATTTACCCTGATGTAAACAATGGAAGCCACAGAGGTGTGTGTCTCCCAGCCACAAGAATGAGTGGATGATTGCTGTGTGCTCTAACTTTGACAAATCCCACCAAACTAATGCTGCATCAAAGGAGCTGGACACAAAAGCACCCGTGCCATGTGGTTCTCTGATTAGACCAAATCCAGGAAGTAGCGAGGTCAATCTACTGCGGGGAGAATGAAGGTGCTGATTATGGAGTAACTGGAAGGGAGCCTGAAGAATATTGGCGGGGAGGGGGGGGATGAATGCTCTGTGATAGTTTCTGCTGCATATGTTTATGGAAACACAGATAAAACATATAAACTCTGTACCTTTCATGATATGGGCATGATATCTCAATTATAATAATGATAAGAATTGATATCTCCTTCCTGACAGATCAACAGAGACTAAGTGGAGAAGCAGTCTTATCATGCCAGCCTGTTGTCATGGTGGGAAGTTGGAAGGGCAGCTAGTACACACTTGACCAACACAGTGGCTTCTCTGTGGGGCTGGAAGTCCAGCTTAGTCATTCATGAGAATGAATATGCCAAGGGGACCATAGTCACATGGCAGAATGCTCTTCTTGTAATCATGATAAACTACAAGTACACACCGCATATCAGCAAATCCCCAAAACACAATTCTGAACAAAAGCATAGTAGATGCTTCTGTTATTTTAAATATGGAATAGGCAGGATGATCTACAGGGTCAGAGGAAAGAACAACAGATATGCTTGGGGAGATGATGAGGGAAGGAGACAAGGGGCCTCCTGGGATATTAGCATGTTCTATTTGTTGATCTGGGTTGATTTGTGCACTTAAAAAAATAACAGCATAGGGGATGAAACCGTAGGATAGTAACTTAAGCACTGGTCCTGGCTGCTCCACTTGTGGTCAAGCTACTTGCTGATGGCCTGGGAAAACAGTGAAGGATGGTCCAATTGCTTGGACTTTTGTACCCTTGTGGAAGACCTGAAAGAAGCTACAGGCTCCTGACTTTGGACTGGCACAGTTCTGGTCATTGAGGTTATCTGGGGAGAGAAGCAGCAGATGGAGCATTCTCTGTCTCCTTTTTCTGTAGAGGACTCACAAAATCTGCCTCTTAAATAAAAAGAAACAAATAATGACATTAGCTACTGAGACAGTCAAAGCTGAAAGCTAAAAGCAGGAGTTGGGAGTTACCCCAGTGATCTATGTAATTGTAAATTTTCTATGTAAATGGCACCCCTGGAGTTACACTGCTGCCCCACTTACTCAGGGTCCTGCACAGAGCCGCCCACACAGTGGAATCTCTCGGGCACGGTTTTCCAGTCTTTAGCCATTTTCACCATGGCGCCTGCATCCAGGACACCATATCCAAACAGGTGGTTGAACTCCAGGCCGACTCCGTTCCGCCTCCACTGATGGACTTCGTCATGCAGCTGGTTCCGTTTGGAGGTGAGCACTGTCAGATGTTGCATGTCTCGCCAGGTCAGACCCAGGCTAGAGAAGGGAGGAAGAGAGTGTGAAAGCAAGAATAAGAGGCAGAGAGAGAGAGAGAGAGAGAGAGAGAGAGAGAGAAACACAATGAGCAACATTTGTGAGCCCCAGTAAAATGATAGATGTACATGGACTAACTTAGAACCACTATGCATGTCAATTAAAAAAAAATTCCTGTCTTTCTCAAATAAATTTACTTTGAAAGAGTTTTCAAGCAAACATGATGGAGCGGCTGAAGTGGAAAAAACTGACAATGTCAAGAGTTGAAAGAGGTGTGGAGAAACCAGAACTCCTGTTCTACACTGACACATGTGTAAATTGTGGCAGCCACTTTGCAAAACTGCCTCGCTGTGTCTTCTAACACTGTCCATATGTCTAAGCTATGGCACAGCAATCCTACCCCTAGGTAGGTATATGACAGAAACTTGCATACATTCACCAGACTAGAATGTTCTTAGCTCCAAACTATGAAGTCCGCAGATATTCACCCAGAGGAGGATGTTATAGTTATTTTGAATAACATGGACAATTTTTACAAATACAGTATTGACCTGAGGAAGGTGGAAGAGAATGCTATGGTTTGAGTGTGTCTCCCCAAGGGTCCATGTGCTAGAAGCTTGGCCTCCAGTGTGGTGACGCTGGGAGGTGACAGTACCTTTAAGAGGTTGTTCCTAGTGTAAAGTGATTAGGTCACAGGAGGCACTGCCCTTGGAGGGCAACGTATGTAGTTTTCATGGGATTCTTATTATTGAGAGAAAGCATTGTTATAAAAGAGCAATACTGGCCCATGCTGGCTTCCTTGCTTCCTAACTCCATGTGATCACTTCCTCTCATGCATTTGCCTCATGATATGAGTAAGCCGAGGGGTCCTCCTCAGAGGGGCTACTCAATTTTGGACTCCCAGCTTCCAAACTGTGAATTGAATAAACATTCTTTTCCTTATAAGGTACTCAGCATCAGGTATTTTGTCCTAGCAATACAAACACAGACCCGTGTAGAGAGTGTCTGCATGATTCTGCTTACTTAAAGCAGAGAAACAGGAAAAACTAGTCTATGTTGTCCAAGGTCAGGGTAGTGGTTAGTTAACCAGGTTGTTGAGTCTTCTTTGGAACAGACAGTATATTTAGTAAGTTTGTGTCTCCAGTGCCTTGGACAGTCTTTCATACTTTATTTAGTGACTAAACCAGTCTGTGTGCAAATACTGATGCCCTTGGTAGTTTCTCTAATATTGGTACCATCAGGAGAGGTGTGAGCAATATTCCCTTGTGACTCAAGTTGCCATTTTCAAGTTCTTGGAACTTTCTGAGATGGAGCAACAAAGTGAACACGGGTCAGAAGGAGAGAATGCTACCATTCCCTGCTGGAGTCATGCTGTGGGGAGAAAGGCTTATTCTTAGTTTTCCAAGATTCTGGTGGGCCGGTGTGTGGACACGATCACTTACTGCATTCAAACCACTTTGGAACAGCTGCTGGATGGACCGCTGCATGGGAAACAGCCTTGCACTACTGTCCTATATGTCACTGGGGCTCCCTGCTGCCTCATCTGAGCCGAAGCAGAGAGGGACTTCTAGGATCCTCCTGTATGTCTGTGAGCTTTCCTGATCAATGCCTTTAACTGCTGGCTGCTGGAAGGCCAGAAAGGCACAGACAGCCAGAAATTTCTTGGTGTGTGCATCCCTTAGGGCTTCTCTTAGACAAAGTATAGCCCAGCTCTGTTCTTTGAGGCATCCTTGGCATTCTGGAGTTTCTAAAGGATTAGCCCCAGGCTAAAACTTCTCCTCCTGGCTTGAGTTATCTCCCATCCCCAACTCCTTCCCCTACTTCACTTGCTTATTGGTATTTCCTGAAACTCAGTTTTTCTTTAATAAATAACTCACATGCAAACCTCATCTTGGAGTCTGGTGCCACTCTCAGGCAGTTGTTGCTCTGAAGAATTTTTGAGCAAGATGACCTGAACCACCTACCTCCAGGTATTGTTTTCCTTCCTTATGTCAATTGAAAGCTTTAAATTTATGTCCATTGCTCCCAAACAAAGGCTGCTCTAGTGCTCGGCACATTCATCTTGTCAGATGTCTGCACTGTGATGCTAAAGGGATGGTGATGAGTAGGAATGCAGCAGCTTTGCTCCACTGGTTTATTGAGGCTATCCCCTTGTATGTACATGGACCTGTGCAAGTGACTTTTTGATTGTTCCAAATCCCAGGAGACTGTGGGTCAAGTTCTGCCACTAGAGCTTGAAAGGGGGATCAGAAACTCATTTGGCTTTCAGATCATTCTGCTACGGTGTTAGGCAGCTAGTTCAGGATCTCAAGTTTGGAAATTCCACATCCCCTGCCTACGTAATCCTTTCTGCCCACCTATGAGTCAAATGACACTTACACCTGGAGTCTGAGGTGGGGCGGTCTTGCATTGTTGTGTAACCATTCCCCTCTCAAGCCCCCCAAATGCCCATGATGGGGAGGGGCTTGCTCTCTTGGTCCTGTGCCTCTCACCTTCTCGCTCTTCTGCTTCCTGCAGATGGATTCTGAGGACAGAGGCAGCAATTTCTCTCCCTTTGCTTTCCATTTCTGTTCCTCTGTCCCTGAACATGGCCCATGTTATATCTGTATTTCTCACCCTCCAAATAAATTTTACCACTTCCTTAAATCGTGTTAGTGCCTATGCTTAAAATGCCTTTTAAGAGGTAAGAACCTAGGAAATAAATGTTTGCCCAGAACCTAGACCACAACGACTCCAGCTCCCTGTTCCCTGTGAGGCCCAGCAATGCTCAGGCCAGATGGCATGAGGAAAGTCCACTTAGACTCTGGGGTCCCCTCAGGCTCTGAGTGAACAGGTTCACATTCAGCATGTGCATATTGAGACCACGTCTTGGTTTCTGTGCTTAATAGTTAAGCTCCCACCAGTGTCTGTCTCTTGGGGTCCTGACTTTTGTTACAAAAAAAATCAAAGTTGAAATTGATCCAAAGAGGAGTCATTCTTATTCCAGAGTCTTTCTTTCTCCTCCTCCTTTTGCTTTTAATATATGCATATATTGATATTTCTATCTAAAAGTCATGTATTTGTGCCCCTTCTGTTTGAAGGCAGAAGACTACACTGAGTTTGAAGTCCCTTCCTATTCTAGGAACCAACTCTTGCCTCGGTTGCAAATCAGAAAATGCACTGCATATGCAGAGAAAGACAGATGAAGGTGCCTGGAGACCCAGGTGAAAAACTCAGGTTGCCTAAAACAACTGATGCAAATGAAGGACTTTTCTTTCCCAACAGCCCGAATTTAACTTCTCACAAGTTTCTGGGTGCTATGTTTCCTGACAATTTCCTACACAGCTGGTGGCAGTTGCCCTCACACCACAAACGTAGTGTCTGAAGCTGAAAGCTTGGGTCTGGAACATAAGGTTGGTCTCTGGCTTTTTCTCAAGCTTATGGGCAGACACCCCCAATGATGATCAAATCCAAGGCGAGTCCAGCAGCAGCAGCATGTGACCTGCCTGAGGAATGGCGAGAACGTGGGAATGGTCTCCCCTTCCTCGTAGCCTGCAAGGTTCCCCAGTAAAGCTCTGCATGCACACTGCATGACCACAGCCACCTTCTCTCTAAGGTTAAAGGATTTACCTACAAGTGGGTAGTCTGGAGTATGAACTCCTTGCTGCCACACGTTCTCAAGCACCTTGTGAGACACTCAGCTTGGCTATTTTGTTTTCCTTTACTTAGTTGATCGTGACTACTAGTAGAGTTAAACAGCCAAGGGACAAAGGACAAAGGAGTGGATTTCATGAAGAAAAGAAGGATGGGCATTTGGTAAACCTCTTAAGGTGCTGATTGGGACAGTCATATTCCGTATCAGAGATCCTGGGTTCAAGTCCCACTTTTACTCCAGTTTTCTGCTAATGTGTACCCTGGGACGCTGCAGGTAATGGCTCAAGCAGTTGAGCTCTTATTACTCATGTGGGGCACTATTTGGGGATGAACCAGAGCATGGAAGAGCTCTCTCCTTGTGTCTTTCTGGCTTTCAAATTAAAAAAGAGAGAAAGAAATAGCTGTGTGACCCTATTGGTATTTGAATAGCTTGCTGATATGTGCTAATATGCTGTTGGGTGTATAGTTTGTGTTCTCCTAAGGGTGTAGTTTTATGGTGTGTGTGTGTGTGTATGTGTGTGTGTGTGTGTGTGTGTGTGTGTAAGAGTGATTTAGAAAAATCCAGCAGAGTTCATTGGCCCTGACTATCTACTGGTTCTCCAACCCATATGAGACTCCATGGACACCTGTTATGTGGATGGAGAGACCGGCATATTATTCCACCTTGCAGAACCAGCCCTGGGCCCAGAGCCGTCAACATACTTTGCCTCCAAAGCCAGTGCAAACACGCCAGCTGCCTCGGGAGCAGCTGCGGACGTCCCCGAATGCCTCAGAGTGCAGTTGCCATACAAATCTGTGGTTGCCTGCAAGGGAAGACATTGAATAATGAGTGAACACATCAAAATGCTTTTTTGATCCCCTCAAAGCAATATGGAGTAGGAGGGTTGTCTATTTATTTTACTTAAACTTTATCTTTTTCCTTAAGAAGACAAAGCTAAGGAGAGACTTAGCATCTATTCACCTTGCTCTTTGCTATTTATTTTATCTGAGCTTTCTAGTAGCTGATGCAAAAAGGGACATATAATCACTTATAGTTACAGAACAATTCCCCACTACACAAGCCAGTTGTCGGAAGCAGCACATCTGGGCTGTTCCAGTGACCAGAGGTATTTTTACTTCCTGAGCCTAAAAACCCTAAGAGGTGGGAAGTTAAGCACCAATTCCATCATCATACTCAGTGCAAATCTTTTTGTTGAATTAGAACCGACTCTGGGAAAATGTAAAGGCCACTGAAGCAGCATTTCTTTTTCCTTTATGAAGACAAGGATGGAATTTGTGAAGAGGAAGAATAACATGCTCAGCTTAAGTCTGCCAAGAACCAGGTAATAAAAAATGAATCTTTCTAAATCCCTAGAACTCATGGAGAGGCTCTGAGACAGGCTGAGTCAACAGGACCCAGTATGCATGATCATCCACGCCAAGTCTCATTTCAGGGCCAAGGGGGAACTGGCAAGCTGAGTTTGAAAGAACTTTCACCAAGAGTAAAATCTTATTTCCAATGTGTGCCAGGGTCATGTATAAACCACAGGAATTCTTCTCTGTCTGTAGGCTCCTCAAAAGAGCCTATTATTTTGAAGAACAAAGTATCAGGGAGGCGTAAAGGCATCCACTGGGCAAAATGACAGTATTCAGAGGAAACTCAAGGCCCTTCTCTAGCCCAAGCAGAAAGAAAGTCACAGATAAGGGCTGGGGCAAAGCCCCACGCTGTGAGGCCCTTGAGGAGTGGAGCTTCTGGGGGTGGGTGGGAGGCAGGAGGAGACCTCTTAAGGAGAATGGGGCTGTCCACACCTAATCTTTCCCGCCTGCTTCTCTTATGCTAAGAAGGGCCAAGGCCTCCTCTTTCTGGTAGCACCTGGCGTGCTTGCTCTTCTCCCTTAGGCCAGGAAGAGCCCAGGAGGACTCCTGGGAGGGACCTGCTGTCAAGGTCTGTATTCCTTCTAGGTTAAGGATTTTGGTGGCTCACACAGGAGCCTGGCCAGCTTGCCAAAGTGGGAGATCAGATGGCAGTGAAGCACTAGAAGGCACCCGATGGCTTGGTTCTGAGCTCTTTATTAACCTGTCATGGAAAGCTCTGGCGCAGAGGGTGTTGCTGTCAGGATGGGGCTCATCGGTGGCTTTGAGGTCACCCTCTAGACTCCTGGTTTGGAGGTCTAAGCAGAGTTTAAGGAACCAAACAACCACTGAGAACAAATGACCCAAAAGGATTCGTTATGCTGAACGGGTGAGATATATTTACAAGAGGTGGGGAAATGTATTATCGTAAACTGAGTGATTTAAGAAGGCAGAGTTACCCAGCACAAAGAAGTAAATAACTCACATGCATGATTTGTAATGTTTTTGTTTTTGAACTTGTGAATCTACTTAAAAATACCATTAGGACCCAGCATGGTAGACTAGCAGCTAAAACGCTCGCCCTGCATGTGTCAAGCTCCCATATGGGCACCAGCTCTAATCCCGGCGGCCCTGCTTCTCATTCAGCTCCCTACTTGTGGCCTGGGAAAGCAGTCGAGGATGGCCCAAAGCCTTGAGACCCTGCACCCACATGAGAGACCCGGAAGAGTCTCCTATCTTTTGGCTTCCAGTCTGTTGTAGCTACTTGAGACTTGAGGAGTGAATCAGTGGACAGAAGATCTTTTTCTCTGTCTTGCCTCCTCTGTATATTTGATTGTTTAATGAAAATAAATAAATTAAAAAGAAATACCATGAAAGTCAAAATTCCTTCTTGAGAAAATCCACAGGTATGCAGAGTTTTAGGAGGCTGATGGGCCTAGAAAATTCATCCATAAACGCTATATTTTAATGACCATCATACATGTATAGGTTCTTGGCTCAGACAAGGCAATGGTGTGACGTGTCCATTCTGATAATTATTTTTAAGAATGTTGTGCTGGGAAAGCATAAGGGCAAACCAGTGTTTATCATTGTTCATAAGCCAAAATTATAAGGAAGAAAATTTATGGAAAATGAGCTAGAAAGGAATCACCATTGCTTGCTCCCAGCATATAGTAGACCACTACAAAAAATAACTGGGCATAAAGAAAATGTGTCTACCAATTATGCTAAATAATAGGCCAAACTCAAAAAGGCAAATCTCTCATTTTTTTCTATGATATGTGGCAGTTTATATAGAATACAAAGGAATATAGAGGGATGAAATGAAAACCGTGTGATATGGTTGTCTTTTTTAGCCCTTATTTGTACTCCTATAGAACTGTGGTCTTCCTAGTTTTACTTGTTGAATATTATGGTTGGTGGTGCATTAAGCCTGTGGCTATAGAGTGGATTAAAATTAAAATTAAAATTAAAAAACTGATGAGAGGAAGAGATGGAGGGAAGGAAGAGGACTAAAGATAAAAATGAGAAGGGAGAGAAATGTGGTTATCTTTTTGGTATTGTATTTATGGAATGCATGAAACATATTTTTTTATATAAAAAATTAGAAAAAAAAAAGGCCTCAAATATTACATAAGATTTGGGTTGTTCTGAACTCTCAAACCACTACAGAAAATCATACCTATTTGTGAACGTCTTTGTATACCCAACATTTTGAAGCTGCCTGAAAGGTTGTCAGGTATAAGATTATTAATGTTACTGATTTTCACTGAAAGTACCTCTTGAAATAAAAGTAAATATAATAAAAAAAAACCAGAAAATGGGTCTTCTTTTCAGAACTGGTGTTAGCTCTCTGGGAGGAATGGTATATCCTATGCCGCCTCAGAGGGCCGGTGGGTATTTGGAAGTGAGGATGAGATGGCTGCACTTACCACGCCGGCCTCAGGGTTCCTCTTCCTCCCGTTGCTGAAGGTGGAGGCCAAGGTGGAGGAGCAGCTCTCGTCATACAGGGCAGTCCTGCCATCATTGATGGCCGAGTTGATGGAGATGGTCCACATGCTTGAGGCATAGCCGTCACAGTTGCAGTCGTCGTAGCTGCCACCATCCCCAGAGGCCCACACGTAGATGCTGCCTTTGCCCCCACGGCCCTGGGGAGAGCAATGAAACATGCTGCCACCCATTCCAGTGCTTGTCCAGGAGTCAGGACTAGATCATTGGCTTCTTGCTTCCTATTCTGTTATCCCCAAAATGGTGGGACTTGAGGCATCATCCAACTCCCCATAGAACCAGAGGATGGAAGATGCTGGTAGAGAAAAATCTGTCCCTGTGTGACCACCAGTGGATAACATTCCTGGTACGTAAGTTAAAGGCAGAGATGGTAGGAGGAGGAGGGATGATTGAATTACTTCCAAACTCTTTATGCCCCTAACATTTTCAAATATTCCTAATGGGACTTGGAGTTAATTAGCCCTTGAGTTAATTAGCTTGATAAGCCAACAAATATTGATTCCACCATTAACTGGGAATCATCCTCAGCATTTTGGTATACCTATGCTAAGAAACTCCACCTAAAACAAGCAACTGCTTTGGAAACTGGAAAGACAAGGGCTGACACTGTGATGCAGCAGGGAAGGCATAGGCCTGAGACCCTAGCATCCCAGATGTGAACTGGTTCATATCTCGACTGCTTCAATCACTATCAAGCTCCCTGCTAGTGTGCCTGGAAAGGCAGTGGCTAATAGCCCATGTGTTTGGACTCCTGCTGCCCATGAGGGACACCCAGATAAAGCTTTTGGCTCCTGACTTTGTTGTGGCACAACCTGGCCATTGCAGCCATCTAGCGAGTAAATTAGTGGATGGAAGATATCCCTCTCTCTGTGTCACTCCAGGTTTCAAATAAATAAATAAATAAATTGCAAAAAAAAAAAAAAAAAGGAAACCAGACAGGGACCTAGATCACATTACAACATATGTGGAAGATGACATACAACAGACCTAGATTTGGTTTCAAAGTCAAGAAACCATCTCTTCTGGAACTGGTGTGAGTCAGGAAGAAGGATGAGACCGACTCTCTGCTAAACTTTCCCTCAAACCAGACCATGTGCAAGCTGCTTATAAGGCAAAGAAACCTGTGTTGAAAGAAAATTGTTGCCAAAAGTGTCCTCTCTCGGTGTAGGTAGGGAGTGTGGCAGACGGACAGGATGTCAGTTCTCCAGAGTCCTCCACACCCTTTGCAATATTGACCATGAAGCCCTGCTGGTGAAGCGGAGAAGTTGCTTTCCCACTTCCTGAATGTAGGCTGACCTCATGTCTTGCTCTGGCCAATAGAATGAGATGGAGAGACTGCCTGTGACCCAAGCACAAGTCTCAAGAAGCCCAGTGCACTTCTGTTGTCTCTGGGACATCTATGCACCATTACTATTGGCCTAAGTTAGTTTGCCCCTGATGAGAGTCACAACCCAGGCCAAGTCCCTGCCCCAGCTAACAGTCAGTCACTGCCAGAGGGGAAGTCCTAGACCCGCCTGTCCCTGGCTTACCCTTCAGGTGACTACAGGTGTGTGAGGTCAGCCGAGTATTGTCAATGCTAGTGAAGATCAGCAGAACCCAGTTGTTCTGTCACTCACCAGCAAAACTGTTGATGTTTTAAACTCCTGAATTTTGGGGGCAGATACACAGACAGCCTGTTTCTATATAAGCAGCAAACGGTTTGTAACTGGACTGGAAGATTTACCCAAATATAGTCCTTTGTTCCTAGGAATGTTAAACTTTGTTTACTGAAGCCAGATGGCACCCTTGAGGCCCTGTGATTACATCTTGCCTTTTAATGACTGATTTTTTTCCATCTTCGTCCTAGACAGGAGCCGGGCAGAAGCTGAGACAGAACAACTATGGCTCATCCAATAGTCGAAGAGGTTCAATAGAAGAAACCTAGGGTGATAATCATGGCAGGCATTTCTATGGCACCTGCTGTGTGAGCAAAGTATCTCCCATGTTGTGCTACTGAATCCTCACCATGAAACCAGCTACACCTTCAGAAACTAAAAAGAAAAAAAGTTAGGCATAAATAAGATTGCAGGTCTCTGTAGGGACTCAAGGAAGACAGAATCTGCTGAAGACACGCATCATGTTCCTAAGTCAAACGGCAGCATTGCAAAGAAACCTGTTTGCCTTGCGTTAATCTATAACTTTACAACCAAGATTCTTTCTGGGTAAAATGGCCACATCTGAGAGTTCAGCAGCAGAGATTTTATATAGAAACAAGTGGTCAAGGAATCAAAAACCCGAGTAGGTTATAGGAAGTTACCCTGGGATTACAGAATCTATGACCTTGGAGGGAGTTAGGCTGCAGAAGGTAGGGTTGTTGTGGGCTGGGCAGCTTTATCCCGATGCATATGGAATGGCAGGTGACTTCCCTGGGCTGCTTTTGTTGGAACTGTCTCTGCTTGAATCCATTTCATTCATTTATTTAAGGAATACAGGTGCATATAAGTATAATCAGGCAAGTGGTGCAACTGCAGACTAGTCTTCTGGAGTTTAGTCTAAATGCTAATTCTTAACCATTTTAACCAAATGAGAACTTTTCAACCAGGCAGTCAATTCTCATCTAAGGAGCAATTTTCACTTCCCCAGGAGCACTGCTCGGTGGTGGTGGTGGTGGTGGTGATGGTGGTGATGGTGTGTATGGCTAGCATGCAGCAGGTAGAGGGTAGGGATGCTCCTAAATTGTACAATGCGTGGGACATTGTCTCCCATCTACAACAAAGAATTCACCTGCTCAAAATATCAAGGTTGAGAAATGCTGCTGCAATCTAGTGAAAGAACAGCGAGTTGGAACTTGCTGGTCCTAAGCATACAGCTTAGCTTGTTTTCTGCTGTTCTAACAGTGTATCTGAACCTGGCTGGTTTCTAAGCTGCACAGGTTTAGTTTGGCTCCTGAACTTGGGGGTTGCAAAGTCCCAGAGTGTGGTGCTGGCATCATCATCTTGGCTTCTGTTGCAGGTTCCTTTATGGAAGGGCAAGAGGGTGAGGGTGGAAGAGGCAAAATGCAAGAGAGTTTGCATTCTAAGGACTCCTTGCAGTCACTGCTCTGGTCCTACAAGAATTACATTAACTCCTCTAACTAATCACTTCTTCAAGTCCCACCTCCCAATGGTCATCCAATTCTATCTTGAGTTTTGGAAGAATAAGTTCATATTCATACTTGAACAAAATGTAACCTAAAGTAACCCCTCACAAACTCAAAACTTCTTACTAGGTCATGCAGATCTAATATTTTGCTCATCATTCAAAAATAATGCTATAAATTTCTCACCATCAGGCAAGATTAAGTTCCAGTTACAGATGGGTGCTGTGGCTCTCTGTGCCCTCAACACACGGCCTGCCTCCCAAAGAGAGAAAAATCTCACTTTGAGAAGCACAAGGCTTCACCCTAGCCAATGGGCAGTGGCCAGGTTCCTGAGTAGACCAAGCCTGTGGTGGGAAGGCTGTGCAGTTGTATGGAAGAGGCAAACATTTCGGAAACTGTCTCCTCCTAAATGCTCAGCAACAGTAGCTCACTTCCAATCATCTTGACATTTTGATGCAACATAACATACTTTGAAAATTGCTGCATTTTTTCCAACTAAGAAAAATAATATTTATTGTAGAATAATTGGAATATATGAACTTTGAAGAAGAAAATACAACCTTCTATAATGTTCCATGAATAGCTAATCCCTGCTGATATTTTTTGCAGCTTCCTGCCTGTTTTCTATATAAATGCAGTCTAAGAATAGATTTAAAAATAAAATTGGAAACATAAAGCACATCTACTTTCTCAGAGTTCTTGGAATGTATTTCTTGCTTATCACATAACTAACTTTGCCTTATGTGATTAACACTCTTTTTAAAAAAATTATTGGAAATGCAGATATATAGAGAGGAAGTGAGACAGAGACGAAGATCTTCCATCTGATGGTTTACTTCCCAAGCGGCTGCAATGGCTAGAGCTGAGCAGATCCAAAGCCAGGAGTCAGGAGCCTCCTCTGAGTCTCCCATATGGGTGCAGGTCACAAGGCTTTGGGCCATCCTTGACTGCACCCCCACCAGGCCACAAGCTGAATGGGAAGTGGGGCCACCGGGGCTAGAACCGGTGCCCATATGGATTCCCGGTGCATTCAAGGTGAGGACTGTAGTCGCTACGCTTTCGCACTGGGCCTGATTAATACTCTTTTAGCTCATAATATTTTATTGCTCTTATAAAGTATCTATTCCATAATGTATCAATTCATTTTCTCATGTATACATGACCATTTCCATTTTTTTTTAAAAAATGCTTTATGTCTAAAAATAAAAAAAAATTCTTATATGTATCTTTATATTTATGTTTATTTCCTCAGAGAGATTTTTGGAAGAGGGAATTTTGGGTGAAAAGGAAAGAATATTTGATAATTGTTGATCTATATTATTGCTCTATGAAGTTCACTAACAATTTATATTTTTACCAGGACTGCGGTATCTCTGGGTCAGGATTTAGGATTACAATGTTTTAAAAAAGGGTTTTGCAGACTTGATGGATACAGGCGGCATCTTCTTGCTTTGAGTTATACATTTTTTACTACAGGTTGAGTTTACTTTTTTGGATCTTTACCTCTCACTTGTATTCTTGCTTTGTGAATAACCCAGCCTCAGAAAATATTTCCTCCTACTTTCTCTGTTTTGACATTCTTTTTGTTGATCTGTAAGAGCTCTTACATAGATCCGTCATCTAAGAAATGTAGAAGACAAGTAAGACGTGACAAGTTGCTCTTCAACTTACATCATCAGGAGAATGCTAACTAAACAAGAATAAAATAACCACACCATGCTTATTTGACTGGCCCACAGCGGGGACCCAGAGAACACTGAAGCAGGAAAGGAAAAGAACAAAAGGAAGATTTATCCTTCTCTGGTTGGAATGGGAAATGGTATAGCCACTCAGGAGGCTGTTTAGCAGCTGAGTCTCTAACAACTCGAACACTTTTATCATGTACCCCGGCTCCTTAATATTTACTCTAAGCAGCTGAAAACTTACATGAACACAAAACCTTCACATGGGTGTTTATACTAGCCTTATTCATCATTCCCTCAAATTGAAACAACCAAGCTGTCTTTGGTAGGTGAACTGGTG